AAACTAGCATATTATTTTATGGAGTCGGGTTATACACTTTTGAAACTTTCCCTGTCCAAAGCAAAGGGGTCAGATTATGAATGAACAGGCTTTAGGCCAGTAACTATTGTATACCGTGGAGAAATAAGGATTCTTTTATTTTGGTTGAGTAAAGAACTGTTGTTGTTTTTATATGATAGTTTGGAAATAATCAAATCTTTGCAATTTATAAAAGTCAATTAAATTTAATTGCATGTTGTATACAATTTTTTGCAATGTCATATACACTTTCACATTATAGATTAACTTTCACAGTTAAAGATAAATTTTCACTAAATGACTAAAGTGTGATGATTTTTTTTGTAAGGGGTGGGATGTTGCCTGTCAAAATTTAAGACTTTGTGTATCCTATCTTTATTTAAGCTTATCAGACACCTGTTGATGAATATTCAGCATCTATAAGTTTCCAGCAATGGTTGGCAAGTGTTACAGAGCGAATTAACCAAACCATGCACTATGGATTTTCAGGTTAGAAATCTAACAAAATTATAAATTTTAAATAGTATTGTTTTATTGTGTAAAAAATTATGAATGTTAACAATGCATTTTTTTCCATTTTGATAAGGTACCCCAGATCCATTGGTATTTCATGCTCCACAAGTTTTCTTTGACTGCTTACAGCAAAGAATATCAGCTGGAACTAGAAAGAAACGTTTACCAAATTTTACCACAGGTTTTGTTAGAAAGGAAGCTCTTCCACTGGGCACCTTTACAAAGTACACATGGCACATTACAAACATAGTGCAAGTAAAGCAGATCTTTGACTCTCAAGAGGTGAGAAGTTAGTCAAGATGTTTTACTTCATTTCTTTAATCTGAGCTTTCATTATCAATTAGATGTCTCAAACAAGGGCGTACCCGCTAATGTTTTCATCATTCAAGAAACCTTTTATTATGTTATTCATTTTCCTCAGATAACATTGGATCTTACCAGAAGCTTTGTAGAAAATAGAGATGGAACATATGATCCTTATGAAGCACCTAGACCTGATGCTTTCAATGACACAAATAAGATTAAAAATCACACACCTATTCGGCCTTTTGAATTAAAAACGTATCTCAAAGTTGGTGAGTATCATTAAATTCAACCAACAGTCACAACTTCATTATTTTTAATTAAGTGTTTCTATTATGCTTATTTTTGTATTTGTTGTGTTTTTTTTCCAGTCGCTGCTACTTATTTGTTAACACATCATTTAAAAAAAAAAAAATTTAACACAAGGGCCATCCAACTATACACTTCTATGGTGTTATCTTTTTGTCGTGAAAAGAGTAACTGTGAGAGACATTCATTTCATAAATTGGGCTTTCGATTGCTCATTTTAGATTGATTCTGTATCATTAATTAGTTTTTCAATTATTAAAAGTTTGTAAAATATCCCGGTATCTAAATTTAGGGTTTGAACAAAAGCTCTTACATTTTTTAAATAAATTCAAAAGAAGCAAAGTTAGTATAATTTAGAATTCTAAAAGTTTGCCCATCAAATTTTTTTTTTGTATGTAGTAAACAGGACCATAACATAAAACATTTATTTGATTGTATTCAGTTTTGATATTTTTGATATTCGCATGATGTGCATAGATTTGTGGGTTCTTAAAAAAAAAGCAATGTTTGTGCCATGCATCTGTTTCATGCAGTCTATAATATTCATTTTTCTTGTAGGTCCTGCTAGTGCACAAAAAGAGTCAACACCTTTTATTATTGAATGGATCCCAGATATTTTGCCTCAGTGTCATATTGGAGAGTTACGTATTAAATTTGAATATGGACATCAACGCAATGGACAAATTGAGAATAGAAACACTAGTGGTTTAACATCTCCAGATATATCCCTCCAAACACAAGCTATACAGCTACGAGAAATAATGCCCAGTTAGCAAGAGTTTATTTCAGTGTCATTGGGATTAACATAAATAGAAAAGTGAGTCACTAGTCAATTACTAAAAGGAAAGCAATTATCTTATGATTCGCTATCTTTTTGAAAATGATATATTCTATTGAATTATGATTTAAATATTTAAGAGCAAATTCATACCATAAATTGTATCTGATTCAATTATTTTTGTTTACTTTGGTTAGTGTCAAATTCCAAAATCTATAAATATCTGTTGAATTCATGTCTCTTATCTAAGTGTATACAGATTGGCTTAGGAAGAGATAAATAAAAGTATTCGCATGATGTGCATAGATTTGTGGGTTCTTAAAAAAAAAGCAATGTTTGTGCCATGCATCTGTTTCATGCAAGACCACTTATAATTATTTGTCACACTTAGTTGAGGTAATTTCTAACTACACATATTCTAATGCTTAATAGAAACAGGTGAGTCTCGTGATAAAAGACTTTTGTACATAAATATTTAAGAGAAAATATTCTATTGTTTACAATGAGCTTCCTTCATTTAGAGCAATATGTTTGAATTTTTCATTCATGTAACAATTAGTCTAAAAGACTTGAGGGTTTACTTTCAAGTAGGATCTCAATCTATTTTAGCCCCTCAGAGAAATTGAAATATCTGCGTTTAGAGCTGTGGCAGTAAAGTAAAGTAAAAAAAAGGATTTTACTTGATAATAACTATCAAAGAGCTAAAGCAGCTGGGTACTGGGTTGATAAAAAGCTTTTTTTCACAAATCCAAGTAGTGAGTGCGCTACAGAGAACTGTTTTTAGAGTATTTCTAAACCCTATAAATCCTGTTGAATAAATAAACAAGGGTATTTATTTTTCTACCTAACTTCTCAGGAAATATCCTGAGCACTTGTGCATATATAGGTGAAGAATTTGTATTATCAGTTTGATGGTCCATTGTAATATTTCTGGTGGACATAACTTTCTCAACTAGTGTCTTTGAAATTTGCTAGTTATCCTTTTCAGGTTGTATGTCAGGCCTCGGTTTATAATTTCCCCCCCCACCCCTTACATTTCCCCCCCCCCTTCTTTTTTTTCTTCTCCCCTTATTTATTGCTGACTTATGGAAATAAAAGAATCAATGTAAAACCATTAGATTTTGTTTTCATTTTTAATAATAACCAATGCTAAATAAATTAAAGGCTATATTTCCAAAGTGTTGTTTGAAAAATTAAGCTCTTTATTTTTTCCAAACCAGTAATATTGTGTACCTTGTTGCAAGTTGAATGTGATTAACATACAATACGTATGTTTTAAGGTATTTTTAAATCTTTTATAATAACTTGGCAAAATCTTCTAAAGCCTAAATGATCCACTTCCCATCGAGCTGAAACTTGGCACAGACTCGTTGCCGATGACAACACATTTTATCAAATTTTCAGCAGCACACCCAAAAATCAGATTATCTTGTTTTTCAAGGGGAAGCTAAATGAGCCACTTCCCATCGAGCTGTAACTTGGTACTCAATGCCAATAAAAAATTAAATCAAATTTTCAGCCCCACCCTCCACAATCAGTTTTTCCTTTCAGTCTTTAATCTATTACTATTAATATGCACTAAGTTTGTAAAAACCATTCCCATGGCAAAATTCAGTTGCTCTAAACAAAAATGCATGTACAGCATTTATAAAAAACTTGGTTTTTAGGGGTTGTTTAATTTATCATCAATTCCTATCATACTAAAAAGTTAAACTACTTCCCCCAAATAAGTTACTCCAGGAAGTTTGTTTCAAATTTCACCACCTGCAACTAATTTTGGGATGCTGGGTTGAATTTTATTATGTTTTGACTAAAAATTTGAATGAATGCATAAAGTGTTGCAAAGCGTTCAAAGACACATTTGACTAGCCTTGTGAACAAATGAAGGGGCATGTGATAAACATATTATCATCCAAGACGCAATACAAATAATTGCACTTAACATTATTGTAATACATTTTTCCCAATTTTGAAATGAAGTTTTATTCAAAATGCTGTTTTCTGGAATATAATAAAAGCTGTCGGTATTATTTGTTATTACATTTACATGGAAATAATCATATACCTAGGAAACGGTTTTACAGCTTTAAAATTAAAATACAAATCTTGAATCACTAAGGCAAGGTATTTAAACTAAGTGTAAGTTAATAATAGAGTCAAACAAAATTTATCAATGGAAATTTTATTTCAACTGAAACAAAAATCAAAGTTACATTTTGATCAATCCTCTTTTTTGCATAGTTAAATTTGCGGTTTTAAATTTAAAGAATACATATTCACACACCTCAAATAATTAATTGACACAATTTTCACTTGCATGAAACTTAAGTTGATGACATCTCATAGAGCTTTAATGTCATGGTCACTAAAATCACAAGGTAAAAATAAGCAGCTGTCAAAATTCATAGTACCGTTCACACAAAAATTCAGTAATATTTTTAAATGTGTACAAAAAACTACTTCACATGACTTGAATGCAGTCCCCCATATATGTCAACTATATTCATTATTAGGAGGTTAGGTTGGAAAAACACAACCATTGTTTTTAAAAATTAAAATTGTACAAAAGATATAGCTATGTATAATCTGACAAAGCCCAATATAAAGGCATTATTCTCATCAAATTTGGTCTAAACATCTGTGACCAAATAAAACAACATGGACTGCCATAATAATATATATGAAAAAATTAAATAGAATAGGAAAATAACTTCTTTATTACATGTAAGTCTAAGGAGGACTATAAAATGTTTGGTGAATGTACATTATGTGCACCTTTAAGCTTTCAAAAAAGTCACAAGATGAGTAATGCTGAAAGAAGGCAACACAACCCAGGTCTAGATCTCAAGACATTGCTACTTGAACTTTAAAAGTATTCAAAATGATTTAAAAGATATAAAATTAGGATTCTAAATTTGCTATAAATTCAGCTTAACCTTAAATAGCTTAATTCTGATTAATTAGTATCAATAAAACATACTGTAACAGGTTATTTAATACATTTGTATATTAATAAATTTTAATAAGTAAAGTAGCATTTTGTAAGTTAATGATTTTAAGTATTGAAAGTTATAAGCTTCAAAAGTATACATTCGAATGTGATATAAAAAAAATCCAAATAAATTTATCTGTGTTTTATCTTTTTTCCCATATACATTATACATATATCTTCGTATGTACTTCAGTTAATTATTAATTTCTTTATTGGTTAGAATTAACCTAAAGGTGATTACACAAAAGTTACAGTTTCTTCCTCTTGGTCGGTGTTTTGATACGGAAGAAGAATAAATTTAGCAGAATTAAGAATAGGATGTGGAGAATTTTGGTAATGATTGGAGTGCAGTAAGTTTCTATTATCCACAAACTGAAATACAGAGGGTGATACTGCAGGTTGCTCGGTAAAAGGTTGATTTGAGCCTGGTCTCTTTGTTACAGTATCAGGTGAGTTGAAGACAGGGATTGGTGGGGAAAGACCTTGACTTGTACTATTTGAATTGTCTGTATCAGGTTTGATGTTTGGAGAAGTGAACGGTGAACTCCTTTTTTTGTAAGGAGGTGGATCAGGTCTTCTGTATTTAGGACTGAGCTCAAATCTTGGAGACATCAATGCTCTCTGAGATAAATCTCTGGTTGGAGATTGTATTTTATGTTGAATCATTCTGCCATGATGATCTTTATCAATGTCAGGAGAATGTAGAGCCTCACGTGTATCTGATGTCCCATTGCCTATGAGAAAATGATTATTTGTTTGGGTGGTTCCAGGGCTTTTTCCAAAAGAATGAAAGGAGTTGATTTTATTTGAGAAATTATCCTTGCCATTAAATTCATTCTTGATCATTTCATGTGCCTGCTGTTGATGGAAGAAGTCCATGTTTTTATTCTTGCTTGGAGAAAGTATTTGTGGACTTGGACTTTTATTTTCAGTTGCTAAATTTAATTTCCCTGTTTCATATGAAGTTGTTTGATTAACAGAAGTGAAGTTCTTGTTGGAGTAGTGTAAAGATGTTTTTGGAGTTTCTGGAGACGAGATGGAATTAGGAGACAATTTATCAGGAAGTGGAGATGCAAGTAAAACAGAGTTTTTCCCTTCTGGGCTGCTTCTTAGTTTTTTACTGTCTGGAGAAAAATTTTCAGGTGATGCTACTGGAGCCCTCATGTTCAGTGATAAATTGTTTTTCAAATTATTATCTGAAGATTGGGTAGCATTTTTTGAATCAATCACTAACGGAGACATGCGAAAGTATGTATCAGCTTCTCCAGGAGATGTTACAACACCATCTTGATGCAAATTACGATCCACATGTAATTTCCATTTCTCAGATGTGGGTGTCTTGTTGATTATTTTATTTGTTTCTCTTGGTGTGAAATTAGAACTGTAAGTAGATCTAGGGTAATTAAAAAGCTCGTGCTTCTTTTTCTCCAAAAAACCTGCTTTGGAAATTTCGGCCACATCATCGAACATATTAAGTCCGCATTGAGCATCATCAATTTTTTTCATGTGTATCTCCTCAACTATGTTCTGGTCTTCATCTACGCATCCACTCTTAATATCTTCACATAAGAATGATGGCAATTCACCGGGAGTCACAAGCACACCTCGTTGTTCTTCCAGTCTCATTTTCTGTGCACTTGACAGCATTTCAAATAAGCGTTCACCTGATGTTAAAACATGAGAAAAATAGTAAACGTACAGATTTCACTTTGATAAGAATTTGTTTGCCAACAATTTAATAAGCTTTGGGTTGACTCTAATATCCGATTTAAAAAAATAATTAACTTTCCCATTATCTAAGTACCAGTCTAATCCCAATAAGAAAAAAATATAACATAGCAAATCTTTAATGCTTATCATATTAAGGAAAGTTCCATCCTGAGAAAATAATTATTACAAAATTTTCTATTCTAATTCTAGATAATATGAGAAATCTCTCAGGTCCATACCTTCTTTGGCACTGCCTTTCTTTTTGCTTTCATTCTTTGGCAGGGAAAAGGTCACTTTGCCCTTCAACTTGCTGGTCTTGCTGGCTTCTTTTGCTGGCACTGACTCTTTTCTCAGTAGCCCGAATAAGGCCAAAGAGCGCCCCTCTTCGTTTTTGTGAGCCTGTTTTTAAATAATGTAAACATTTTGTCAAATTTGCTCATGAAAACCCGTTAAAGGGGAAAAAAAAATAAATAGACCTGGCCATCATTGATGCCAGAGTACATATTTATTTTAAATATTAATTTGTAAAAAGAGTGTTGTAAACACATTTTTGAGATAAACATTCAACAGAATTATCTTAAGCTATAGCAGGATTCTATGAGCTGGAATTTTAAAATTCTCTTTGCATAATTTTAAATATACCACAAAAAACGTTATATAATATTAAAATCTGCATCATAGTTAATGCTATAAGAAACAATTTTTCTAATTTATTTATTATCATGAATCACAAACAGTTAGTATAAGAAAATTAATTATTTTGAATTAATAAATGAACAGGTTCATTACAGTTTAAAATCGTGAATATATAATAATGTATATGTCACATATTTGTAAGCAGAAACAACAACAATGTATTAAGTAATTACATCATTTTAGAATATGATTAAATGGTTACATAAATGGGTGTTAGCGAATTTAAAGATCATGATGCAGCAGCACAGAGTAAGAAAACTTTTGGTCAGAAATAAAATTTAAACATTTTATCTTTGTTTTTAAAAAAAATTAAATTTTAATAACTAATTGGGATATTAAGATTTATTTTTGAAATAAATATCAGAAATTCCCTCATAGATCTAAATAGCTACAACCATACTGACTTTTCACAACAACAAATCTAAAAAGCAATGGGATTCCATGGCAAAGTGTTGAGCATTTTGGGATGATAATTTCAAAGCTACTCAGTAACCGACCATTGTCCCTACCTTAGCTTTGTCTAATTCCAGTACACCCAGCTCATCAAAACCATGGGCTAACTGGCTTTTTCCTCGCATTAAGTCCTCAAATATCTTATTGGTTATCTCCTCCAGCGAGCCACCACGAGTGCCAAAATGCCCAGCTTTGGAGCGACTCGCAGGTGGTGCTTTAGGCAGACGTGAGACCGTGGGTTGAGCACCCTGCCTCATTATTTCTGTTAGAACAAATATTAATGACAACTGAAGATGCAATGCATGCAGGGTTAGTTTAAATACAATAAAACATTGAAGTTAATCAAATGGAATTACATTATACAATTAATTTCAACATATTTTGGAAATTCCAATTTTTTTACTGCTATCAACATATACCAATGGCTACATTGGAATCAAGAAAAATCATTACATAATAACATGTTAGGAAAGAATTAAGGAGGAACATGTTTCATTTTGTTTTAAATTTTCTATCTTTAGAGTTAAAAGTAGGTAATTTTAAAAAGAAATATTTGTGTTTCTATTACTTTTTAAATACAAATATATTAGCTCTTGATCAAACTTAACATTTTTAAAAAGACATAACTATATGGACAAATAGAATAGATTTTGAATTGTGTTTAACTATGGAGAATTATTATTTTACTACCAGATTTATATAGGGAAATTAGCATAATGCAGAAATCATATGCCAACCAATGAGTTCAACAACAAACATGTTAGTGTTAGTCATGCACATATCAATAGAGGAGAGGTATTTTAACTGAACATATCTAGCATAAAACCTTTAGACATTTATAATATGTGGGAAGAGTAAGCAGTAGTTATACAAAAGCAGGGATTTTATAAAAAAATTGAATCCATTCCAAGCTAAGTAAATTAATTCATTTTTAAGGCTGCTTCTTTTGGATTTTTTTAAATTGCATATAGCACAATTCATCAGAGGAAACAATTGTTAGGTGGTGTAACTAAACAGGGTAGCTAATTAATCATGCATCTACTTACACTTTACTATTTACATTCATAATTTGAAAAAAAAACAACTACATTTTCAAGGCCAAACAAAGATTTTCAACATTTAAATTTTAACAAATTAAAAACATCTACACCAGGTCAAGCAAGATTAGAACTAAGTGAAAGGGAGTCTACAAACATGACTCTAAAGGGAGTCTACAAACATGACTCTAAAGGGAGTCTACAAACATGACTCTAAAGGGAGTCTACAAACATGACTCTAGTTTGCTCAGTACAACTTCACTTGAGAACAGCGGCCTTACTGTTATGTTGTATGCATCGGCTGATTGGCTGAACTTTCCATGCAGCATAACAATTAGTTACCAAATTAGGTTAAAATTATTTTTATTTTCTAATTAAAAACATGTTAATTGCATTGGAGGGATTGGTTAGTTCAGTTAAAAAACACCCGATACACATAATAGACCCAACCCTCCCCATTCAACATTCCAACCACAATTTAATGTTAAAAATTAATATGTTTAAGAGTCTTAAACAACAGAGGAGGGATTAAAAAAGTAATGAAGAGACAAGGATAAGCATTTAAGTAAAATTTTAAGAGCCAATGGTGCAGCTTTTATAGGCAACAAGCTTAGAAAATGCTGTTTTAAGTCAATTACCTGCTGCTTCTACATCTGTTATAACGACCACTCGTTGGTTCTCTATATCCGATACAGACATGTCCAGATCAAGGAAGTCCATGGACCCTATCTAAAAATAGTAAAGTAGTATTATTATAAGATGAGCAGAACCTGAATGAAATGTATCAGAAAAAAATAACAACCAAACTAATTGGTCAAGGTCAGTGAAATAGAAAAAACAACACTAAGTTTGCTTGTTATATAATCAAATGGTTCTTTTGGTGGTACTTACTAAATGGACAGCTATGTTGTCAATACGAAAACCATATTTAGAAAGAATGGGTTTGAACACGTCCCGAATGCTCCTGTTCGGCTTGGCTTTTACTCCAATGGATTTGTTATTGGGAAAGTCCAATCTAAACAGCACCCGTCGCTCTATAACTATCTCCTTAGAACCCAGTGTAGAAATATCCTCATTAAGGTCAAGAGGCTAAAAAAAAAGTATTTATAATGTTATATTGCTTTTATATATACATAAATATTTATATAAATAAGGGGCAAGACCTTAATGGACGCCCGCAGCTCAGATTTAAGGACATTTACAGAAGGAACACGAGGGAAGCCAAAACAGATATCGATGAACAGGAGATCATCGCTGAGCACCTTTCCAGCTGGCAAAACAGGCAGAAACATAGCCATTGCAACAAAAAGAACATTAATGAAGGCCAAATTTAACCAGGAGTCAAAGATCTCCTGTGAGAAGTGCAGCAGCAGAGGCTGCCATTCCATGATCTGCCTAGTAAGCCATTTGATGAAGTGCCAAAAGCTACTCCATTGTCTCGTGAAGATGGAAGGATGCCATATGTAAATTTACTTTTTTTAAGCATTCATTTTATAATAGAATTTACTACAGGACTGATTATAAATGATGATCTTTCTAAATTATGAATGGTTAATATAAAGTTTTAATTATGACAAAGATATATATTTCATAAAAATTTTGTTTATAAATGAATTGCCCATGTCTTTCTTACCCTATCTGAACCTAATAAGAAAACATCAACGGAGGCAATGGAAATGGACCTCTTCTCACATAGTTTGCTAAGAACTGAACGTGAGGTTTGTCCAGGTTTAGCACATACCACAGTGGTTGAACCATCAGGCATGACAATACGACAAAATTTAAAATTTACTTCTGGGGCATCTTTCAACTGTAAATGCAAATAAATAATAACTTCAAATATTTTGATGCTTTCAACAATAATGGGATCAATACTTTAAATGTCTTCTAATAAGAAACTTTTTTAGTAACCAAAAAACCAAAAATATATCAATCATTAGGGGTGTGCCGGACCCCGGTCCGGAATCCGGTTCCGCCGGATTTTGCACTATCCGGTGAAATCCGGTTCCGCCGGATTTACATGTATCCGGAACAACCGGATTCCGGAATCCGGAATATACCGGATTTCGGAATTTGCCAGATTTTGTGACTCACCGGATCATAATCTGAAATAAAAGTAATTCTCTTTCCCGAATTCCACACGATCACGATACATTAATCGATTGTTTCGAGCGTTGAGCTTGTTTAATGTTTAATATTCCGTACATACCAGAGGCTAGAGTCAGCACCGCTAATAGTGGCCAATAGTGTAGGGACTTTGATAAGAAAATTTAAACTTTTTGTAAAAATAAACCAATGGCATAGTTGAAAAGATGTAATTTTTTAAAGAATTATAACACCAAAATCATATTTTTAGCTGTTGTAGTTTTAAAGTTATGAATTTTTAAAGTACGACTTGGTTTGTCATTTTTTAACATGGACTGCATCTCCACATTCTGTGATCTCATTCCACCAATCCCGTCATGCGCAATGACTATATAGTTTATATAAGGCAACGCATTCCCTGCCTTATCACTAAAATACTGTTTAGACTTAGTTTAAACTTTCAACTTTGGCACATGAATAATTAATTAAAGCTTTCCCTGACCAATGGTTTAATAGTTTTTGCACACGGCAAACTCTTATGAATGAAACTCTGAGGTAGTACTACGATACAGTTATGCAAGTGGCTGTGAATGGTTGCCAATGACAACGTGTTGCACACGGTAAATTCTGATCATTTATAATATGGATTCTACCGGGTTGTTAAAGCTCAAATTAAAACATTCCAGTTTAAATGTCTTTAAATGCATTCTGAAACACAAGTTATCAATTATTTTGATGTAAATAGTGATAATAAATTAATATTTCCTAAGTATCGTCAACTTCCGCCATTAAAAAGGGGGGCGTGGCCAACCCCATGGCGAAATTAGGTTGAGCGAGCTGCATGACCTGCTGCGAACGCGTAGAAACATGGCGTCTCTCGTAAGACACTTATCCAAATGGAACGGAACTCAAATATATATCGAAAGTACTAATTTAATAATAAATAGACACACACATCGGAAAATTAAAAACTCGGATTTTTTGGCGCCGATTGCGAATTCCCATACACAAAAAGTAGTAGTCCACCTTGACTTACCGAAATATCTACCAATAGTACCAAAATCCGGAATCCGGGAGAAACCGGTATCCGGATCCGGCGGATTTCGCATAAGAAAATCCGGATCCGGTTGGAAAAAACGGATCCGGCACACCCCTATCAATCATTAACTATTTAAAAATATATTACTGATTAACTTTAAAAAAATTCAATCATTGTAACTTCTTCTGCAAAGAAGGTTGAGTAATTACATTTTAAAAGAAATATTTTTGCAAATTACAATACATATATAAGTAAAAAGTTGGTAACATGGTGAATCTGTTTACCTCTTTAAGGTGAAAAACTTCTTTCCTCATTGTGCTGAGATCAATGCCGGGTCCAGGAGCTTTCTTCAAGTTGACATTGTTGACACCATTAGCGTTGCTACTTGTTGTGATAGTGGTAGTTGTACCAGAACTCACTACACTAATATTTTGATGATTATTATTGGTTTCTTTATCTTTGTCTTCTTTTCCTTTCTTGCCATGCTTCTTCAGTTCAGGGTCTGATGTAGATTTGACTGATTTCCTGTCTGAATTAATTATTATTCTTGGACATTGATTATCCAGATATGAAAATATATATTTATAATTTTTTCCCAAATTAAAAAAAAAAATGCATGATATAAAAACTTATCTCTGAACAAATTATCAAGCTTTACTTCGTGTAACTTGTAGTCAAATATTAACTTAAAAGACAACAGAAAGTTGTTAAAAAATTAATATATCATCTTCAAATGAAGGCATTAATTTTAGTGAATAAAATATGGATACTTACTTTGTTTCCATGGTAATATGGAGCGTCTGCGCTTGTCATCATTCTCTTTACCTTTTCCCTAATTTTAGAAAATAATTTTTATTTTTTGGAAACAACTTTGAAATAATTTTTAAGATAAAAATATCTAGATATTAAGGATCTCTATAAAATCTTCACATTAGTAATGATTGTATAATTATAAAGCCTACTGAAGTAGGGCAGAAACATGTTACATTGATGCAACTCAATTTCTTCAAAGTGAAGAAATTTTAAAGTGCAAATTTGCATGCCAGAGCTGTACAGAAAATATTCTCCAGGAAAAAACTATAACAATGCAAGTAGTCAAACAAGTTACACTCAGAAACTTATAGTGTACCTTTTTCTTGCTGTCTGAAAACTTTCTTTCTTCTGCTGTACCCTCCAAAACTTTGCCTTCCATTTCTTCCATTAACTTGTTCTTATAGAGATCTGATTTGAGGAACCTAGCATAGCTATCTTGACGCATCAGTTGGAATATCTGTGCAAAGATGAAGAGCATGACAAAGTGAAGAGCTTCCCACTTCTCAATATCATTAATCCACTGATTTTGCCTTATTCCTTTAAATTAACCCATTAAGAATGTTCTAAATATATTAATTATTAATGATAAAATGTAGAAATTAAAAGTGGAAAAATTATTTATGCAACATTATACTGTGTATGTTGAATTGAGTTAAGCCAATAAAATCAACCCAAGCCTATCTATTGAAATGAGTTAAGCCAATAAAATCAATCCAAGCCTATCTATTGAAATGAGTTAAGCCAATAAAATCAATCCACACCTATCTATTGAAATGAGTTAAGCCAATAAAATCAATCCAAGCCTATCTATTGAAATGAGTTAAGCCAATAAAATCAATCCACGCCTATCTATTGAAATGAGTTAAGCCAATAAAATCAATCCAAGCCTATCAATTGAAATGAGTTAAGCCAATAAAATCAATCCAAGCCTATCTATTGAAATGAGTTAAGCCAATAAAATCAATCCACGCCTATCTATTGAAATGAGTTAAGCCAATAATATCAATCCAAGCCTATTGATTGAAATGAGTTAAGCCAATAAAAGCAATCCAAGCCTATCCATTGAAATGAGTTAAGCCAATAAAATTAATCCAAGCCAATCCATTGAAATGAGTTAAGCCAATAAAATCAATCCAAGCTTATCCATTGAAATCAGTAAGGTAAGTGAACAATGGAGTTGAATAAAGATTTCATTTATTAGTGAAGATATTTGTGGAATTTAAATGAAAAATTGTGAGACAATATTAAAAATAATAGACTATAACAAAGTAAAATAGACTTACCTGCTGCTGGGCCACATCAAACATGATAGCTGTGGGGTTGTCAAGGAATTTTTCAGAATATGAGCGGGCAGCACTATCCACATTGACAGGATCACTGGCCTTTGTTGAAAGGTATCGACTGTAAATATCCTTTGCTTGAGATTTTCTCTATTAATATAAGTAAATCAAACAATATTATATATCCTTTGCTTGAGATTTTCTCTATTAATATAAGAAAATCAAACAAAATTATTATGTTCCTTGCTGGTGGATTTTCAGTATAAATGTAAGTAAACAATATTATCATGTAAGACGAGAAGGATGCTATAAAAATGATTTGAAATTTTTATAAAGTTATATTTTTTTAAATAACTAGCCAATATAACCGGCGTTGCCCGGGACTCCCTCCAGATCCCATTGGTATCCCTATCCTGTCGGTATTCTGATCCCGGTGGTATACCAATCCCATTGGGATCCCATTTCCAAATGGGATCCCATGTTCCAATGGGATCCCAGCCTAATTGAGATTCCGATGGGATCCCATTTCCAAGTAGGATACCATTTTCCATTCCCCCCCCCCCTTTCAGTTGGGATCCCGATCCCGTTAGGATACTGTTTCCTAGTGCGATTCTCTTCTTTTATATATATATATATATATATATATATATTATGTATATTATATATATATATGTATGATTTAAATTGTATAGATTGCAGGAATCAAACTTACCTGATGATCATCAGCCAGCTGCCTGTATTGCTCACAAGCTTTCCAAAATATAACATTCTCCTCACTGAATTCTTTCTTTAGGAAGTTCTATTTATTCAAACAAGTTTAAAAAATGTCAGTGCTAACATTTCATGGTAAATAAATTTCATACTGGAGCTAATAGTGATCGAAGTGTATATTTTCTGTTTCAATACTGGTAATCTTTAAAAATAATAATTCATCTTTAACAAAGTTGTTAACATTAAAATATTGGTTAAGGGTTAGCTTACTGTAAAGATTCCAATGCCAATGGGATCTTTTAACAATTTTTCAAAATTAACAGCCCAGCTGGCAACTCTCCCGGATTTTTCTATCAGACCTTGGTCACCAGTCTGACATGCTATGTTGTTGACACTGCATGCTGTTATTAATTTTTGATTGGATGAGCTTCCATCTTCTCCAACAGCCAAAGACTGCAAATTTTAAAAAAAATGTACATATTTTTAAAAATAAAGTAACTCAACTTTACTAGCTTGAAACAAAATATTTGTATGCCTTAGAATGATCTTACATTATGATTAAACAAATAGACCAAAAGAATGATAGGGAATAGATTTGATCAATAATTATTTTTAATTAGCGTTAGCTCGCCAAATAGTGATGGCCGCAATGCGTGAACTAAAATTAGTTGATAAAACAATTACTTAATGAAACATGCATTCAAGTAACCCACTTTATAAGATTCCAAATTAGTGCTACCCCCACTCTTTGTTCGCAAACCCCCACATTTTTCATGACCGAGAATTGTAATAATGTCCCACCCACTTTTACACTGCATATTTATAACACCATATTTTAAGACTTTTTCTGTAAATCAAGAAAATATTACCAGGCTGCTGTATTTTTTAAGAATCTCATTTATTACAGTTATCTAGGTTATATTTAGTGAAATCAGCGCCATCCGGTTGCATTAGTGATATTGTTTACATTATAACACTCTGCACAGACAAGGAGTAAAATGTTATAGCAAATTACTCACTTTTGAATGAATTAAAATGATCTGTTGATGATCTGAGCTGACATTTTGGTCATTCAGTGATCCTAAACTATGCCTCAAAATCTTTAAACATAGCATTCTAAAATGTTCATGTTCAAACTATACAGAATAATTTTTAGATGCCACCTTTCTTTCTTATTTACTTTGAACCAAAGATTATTCACATGAATAAATTCTGATTAAAATTTATTTAGAGAATACAAATATACACACTTTTTATGTCACAAAGTCAAGACTGTTCAAAACATTCCCTAGAATTGTTCTCTTTTGAAGTTAAATATAAGAAATGAATTTATGTTCCGACACCACACTGAATGTCACTGTTATCATAGAGCTAAATAATTCCTTGAACATTAATTGCCTTACAAGAAAGGTTCAGTTAAATCATTTATCTTATCACCGAAGCTCCAAGCCTGCTATGCTAAGGCCTTGTGTTTGTATCGGCAGGCGACTGGCTTAACACTCCTACAGATTGCAGTCTTAAGAAACGATTTTCACAGATAACTGCTTCTAGGTCTCTGGTGACGATACTCCAGTTGGTTATGTTTACCAAAGACTTAGGTAAGGAGGTTTAAAAAGCTTTCAGAGAATATATATTGTGTGTTAAGTCAGTGAGGTTTTCATTCTTCAAATACATTAATCAATAGCTGTAGCCCAAATTCATTTGTAATATGGCTTGTATGTTAACTGATCGGACTAAAGCAGTGCTCCCCCACAAAGCTGGATGAAAACAAAAGGTACTTAAGAAAAAGAGGCTCTTCTCACTGTTGTCTTTGTAAATATGTACAGTTACAGGTAAAAATGAAACAGGGAAGAACATTTTTTTTAAACAATATACTTGTGTGTACTGAGGGAAGTGGTTGTTAAAACAATAGGATTTAAAGTATTAAACAGAGACTTGGCTCAAATCTTTTCCTAATGCCTCTAAGCCGACCAGCCTAGTCTTACAAGCAAAACAATGGGGATACCCATATTAAAAATGAAGTAATGACAGAGAGAATGTTTGAACTTTTATGGCCTATTGTTCATCACTGATATGTATATATATTTAATTTTAACATTAAATTTGAAATTATTTGGCTAAATTAATAATCTATTGGTTTAAAATAATTTGCTATGCCTTGCAGTAGAAAAAGTGAGTAAATTAACAACTTTATGATTAAAAATGAATGCATTGTATAATGGTGGACAAATATTAACCTATTACTAGGTGTTGTATCATCTGCATTGTATAATGGTGGACAAATATTAACCTATTACTAGGTGTTGTATCATCAACAATTCTGTTTAGTTTTAGCGTTAAAGTAGTTGATTAGTCATATTAGACCATTGGGACCAGTTCACATATTATATTTAAATCTCCACATCATCAAATAATTTTTTTTTTGGTCACGTTTTCTTTCACTGAAGAATGCTTTTTGTTTCATTTTGTCATTTTTCAGATTTCCCCTCTACTTTGTGCAACCCCCCCCCCTCACCCCCATCTTACCCCATTGAAAGTGAGTTGAATATGAAACAAACCAAATACAACAGTTCAACAAAAGCACGTAACCAAAGAAATACTTCATATTAGTACGCTGCTCCACCATAGTGAAACTACAAGACCAAGAACATTTCACTATATGTTCCAATGAAATCACATCATCAAATAATTTTTTTTTGGTCACGTTTTCTTTCACTGAAGAATGCTTTTTGTTTCATTTTGTCATTTTTCAGATTTCCCCTCTACTTTGTGCAACCCCCCCCCCCTCACCCCCATCTTACCCCATTGAAAGTGAGTTGAATATGAAACAAACCAAATACAACAGTTCAACAAAAGCACGTAACCAAAGAAGTACTTCATATTAGTACGCTGCTCCACCATAGTGAAACTACAAGACCAAGAACATTTCACTGTATGTGCCAATGAAATTCCTTAATACCTTCCCATATACACATAGGGCTTTACTTATAGGGAAAACGTGAGGCTTCCTGTCCTATCAGCTGACTATTTGGCCACTTGAAAACGTGTTTATCTTCAAGGCAATCTTGTCAGCAATAAATCATACACATTGTGGATACATGCCATAGTGACAGTGTAGTTATACTCAAACACAGCAAACATGTTTTAATTATTCATATACACAACTTTAAATATCAGGTGACATTGGACAACACCCATTTTGACTGAGGAGTCCAGATCCAACCTGAATCTATTTTGGAGGCAATCACCACTGACCACACCCAACTCAAGTCTACTGACCCTGCTGAGGACAGCGAGGAGATATGTTTCATGCCAATCGAGAAAGTACATCTATTGTTTAATGAAACATTCACCATTTTTAGTACACTGGAGCAGACCAAAGCATTAGAATTAGAGCGGTGGGTAGGATAATTTGTATATGTAACTAAAATGTAATTTCATTATTTCAGTTACTTTGGCTGTCATTTAAGAAAGTTCATATAAAACAATCTCAAATGATCAATTAATTTTACTCCCATGCTGAAAGCTAATTGAACACTTTGACAATCACAGGTTTCAAGATGCTTACTACAGTCGGTAAAGACGTTAGTGAAATCTTTTCTGTTTACTACCAAGAATAGGCATAGTCTACAGTTTTGGAGTAGGAAGGAACTGAAGGGGTGTGGGTGTGTGTGTGTGTGTGTGCAGCACTAAATGGTTTACTAAATAGTTATGGTTTACTAGATCAACATCATATCCCACCAAAATTTAAGGCAGCATTTCAAAATCCGTAAAATAAGAAACTAGATTGGTTTTACTTCATTTAAGTTATAAAATGGGTTCAACAATCAGGGACGTCACAGTAAAATGCAAAGACTCGTGCCACGTATCTCAACCGTCTTGATTTTGTCATGACATATTATTTGAAGGCTTCCCATTCTCTGACGCTCGCTCTTTCCTACGTCGCCTCAAGCTTTTAAAACTATTAGATCATGGCTCAGTTTGGGAGAGAGGTCTGTTGCGTGTACTCGGATCGAACATTTGGCCTTAAGGACGAAGCTAATGAAACATGAACCGGGGTCTATGTTAAACCCATTAACTCCACTGAACATTAAATTCTTTACTTTGACAGGAAACATTTGTAAACCAGAAGCAACGACCCATTCACGGACGAGTGAACACAACTGCAGGGATCAGTGAGTCTCGGGCATTTTTGTTGAACCATTATTTAACGTGTATCGCCAAATTAGAGCGATAATGCAATAAACGAGTAGTCACGACCTACTTCGAGTAGCCAGTACTTACTTCGTTAGAACACATTTAGCTGTAACAGTGGCGTATTAAACGGGGGTGTGGCGGGGCGGTCTGCCCCGGGTGGCACTTTCCTCATAGTGAAAAGCGGCTACTGCTGCCATTAATCCTAGCTACGCCACTGGGTGAGAAATATTGACACCTTCCATTCGGGCACCATTGCATAAGACAACAGCCCTCAAAGGTTACATTGATTCATTCTAAACTGACACAAGTTGGGGCGTCTTTACGTTAATGATTTCCAAAGTGGAGACACGGGGGTATGTAACACGAGACACAGGGATATGCAACATGAGACACGGGGATATGTAACAGGAGACACAGGGATATGTAACACGAGACACAGGGATATGTAACAAGAGACACAGGGATATGTAACAAGAGACACATCAAAGCTACAACTATTTAACAATTAACTATGAACCTACTAGTGAATCTCTTACCGCCGCATGGCTGTACGTTTTATTAAGAGCCTGTGAACGCCTGTAGCGAAGTCTAGCTGCTCGCTCATCGGGTAAGTTGTTTGACTGCAGTGAGCACAAGGTGGCACTGAGTCTCTCTGATGTGCTGGCAGAGAGATAACTTTGGTAGCTTCTGTTGCCCGTAGATGAATTCATATGTGCCTCGGGTCTTATCAAGCCAACAATGCGCTGGTGTTTACTGTATGAAATGTTTCCATGTGGTGAGGTGAGATGGAGGGCCCTACAGACGTGTCGTGTATGTCTGATGGACTGAGAGTGTGGCTCATGCTGACCTATGTGTCTGATGGACTGAGAGTGTGGCTCATGCTGAGCCATGTGTCTGATAGACTGAGAATGCGGATCACGTTGAGATTTGTTGAAATGGTCCTGTTTTGAATTGGAATCTTCAGAACCACCCGAACAGCCTTCTGGCTCAGGTCTGTTGCAATCAGAAATGTTAGACGCAGATTTCCTATACATGGGTGGACGTTGGTCACACACATGGCGCGGTGGTTGCCCAACAAAAGTCGAGCTGATATTTAAATGCGCCAATAAGTCTGTGTGAAGACTTTGCTTGAACTCGCAGGTATTTTCATCGAACAGGTTGTAACTTCTCCGTATCGATCGTCTAAGTGATTTCGACAATGATCCTGTAGGATGAAAACCATCGGAATGATCGAATAACGAATGATTTTGACTTGCCACAGATTTGTTGACGCGTTCAAAATAACCTCCGGCTCCGACATTTTGAGATGTGCCCAGGACTTTTCTGGCATTTGGAGATGTGTCCTGGACTTTTCTGGCATTCTCATCCCCGAGTCGCTTCTTGGTGACCTTCAGTGAGCTGGTGATGGAGTGAGACAGGCGAGACAAAGATGACCGACGGCGTTTGGAGGGCGACTCGTAGTTGGTGTTAAGCGAAGAACTTGGCGCACCACGTACAGTTGATGAAGACTCGTCCAACTTTCGCTTGTATGGCGTCAGGCGTGTACGGGCAGATCCTTTGGTGGACATGGTGGGTGGCTTTCGACACAAACCTCACGGTGCAAGTGTTGGTCACAACATCGTGACAACTCTATTCGACAGATAGTTTAATAATAAAGCACTAAACTGTCCACACAAAAACTGTAATACTCCGACAGAAATGTAAGGATTCTGTAAAATATCAACACAACATGGTCCACGGTGTATAGCAGTAATGTACAGTCAAACCCGTTTGAGGCTGGAGGTACAGACTTCTAAACCAGATAGTATTACACAAGGCCAAATGGTCACGAACAGTCTACCACAGGGGTTTGTTAAGGAACAGATGATGCACTCTTAGTTTGCTAATCCGCTTATATAGGCCGGTGAGGATTAACCTGGAACAAAACACGCCACGCCCTTCTTCTCGCTAACGCCTGCGGTGGTCAGTGGACGAGAGTTGGGGATGGCTTAGCTCCGCCCTGACAAGTGACGTCATTTTATCAGCGCCAGTGTGACGCAGTTGGGAAATGTTGAATGTCTTACCGGTCTAGGGGGGGGGGGGGGGGGGGCGGAGGGTACTTTACACGCGCAATCTAAAACTAACACAACCAGATACGTCATACACAAGAAATCGAAGAAATGTTTCAGCAAGTATATTAATACTAACCTGTTTTTTTTTTAAATCTTTAAAATACTAAATGGACTTTTCTCCATCAATAATGAGCAAACAACACTAAGAATGTAACACGTGCCTACTATTTGAACCATACGAGGTCAACGGCATGAATTAAGCAACCGGTGATGACCACGTTTTTTTTTTTTCTGACCTGAAACTGCTCTTGGGAGGCGATGACTTTCACGATGCCCCCACTTACTTAAAGAGTACGGTAACTCATGTTGAACCACAACAAACGTGTGCTGCTAATGGGTTTTAATTCACTAATGCTATGTACACTATGTCTTCAATCACTAGCACTATGTACACAATGCACTGTTATGAGTCATTGAATAGTTATGGCGCAGAGAGTAAACCTTATCTTAGCTAGAAGGGGCGAACGTTTCAGTGCTGACTTTGAAAGTAACAGCCCTTCCTCATGTGTTCGTGTTCAGGGAATATTACAGTGTACAAAATTTAATTTAAAAAACAAAAAAACCCGTTTAGTTTGATGACAGTGTCGACCTTTTGAACTTAACGAAGCACAACTTCACTTGTCACTACAACTCCATGGAGGGGTTGGCAGTAAAACACCACCACTATGGAATCTCTGCACAAGGCATGCCCCAAATGTTTGATGCAAAGATATATATCAAACGATGTCTTGATGTCCCCTGGTCATTTATCCTTCTGCTCTCTTACATGTTCAGTATTCACTCGTCCTCTTCGCTGGCGGTACAATGTTATTACTTCCCAGAATGTCCACACCAAATGGAAGTGTAAGAATGACAACATGACATCACTTTCACAACACTCAACAACGCATCCATATTTACACTGTGATAGGCCTACAGCACATTTTCATTTTTTACACAGTGAGTTGACATCACCCCCCCAAAAAAACCAAAAAAAAAAAAAAAAAAAAACCAAAAAAAAACACACACACAACGCAAGGCCCCCCCCCCCGCCCTCCGGTTAGGGACCAAACCCAACCCAAACAGACACATTCTTCAACGTTCCACGTCAGTGTCAACTCGTCTTCTAAATGTTGATAGAAATAAACAAGAACTTCTGGAAGATTTAAATACAACACTTCATACACATTGACATTTCTTTCAGTTAGTCAGTCAAAGGGTCACACTGCCTCGGTGTGTGTGTGTGTCTGCGTGTGTGTGGCATGGTGTTGTTTTTTACCCGAGTCCACATCAACTCAAACTTGACCAAAATATTAAATGACTAGCGCTTACCCGGGTGCAATTGTTTGACACCGGCTCCGGTGGCTCCAAATGTCCCCCCCCCCAAAAAAAAAAAAAGTTAACTTCACATTTGCAATAAACAACAGGCCCAGAGACAGTCCTACTCCATACTCGTGTCTAGTTATTGATTACTAGATAGCCACCTCCTAAAAAATTCAACCTTTTTACCCGAGTGCAGCCGTCACGCATGACGCTCCCTGGTCGACAGCCCCCCCCCCCCAAACTCAGTACTCCTAATATATAGCATGTTGAGTAAGGGGGAGGCCGGTTGTGAAAAGGAAGCAGGACACACCAGAAGCAAAACATATCTAAGAGATTCCATACACCGGAATAGAGCCATTTACTAGATTGACAACCATAAATAAATCACATCAAACAAGATTGCGTTTTCGGATCACAACTAAGAAATTATGTCTACGACATATGTAGCATAGAGCAGTCAGTAAATCCTCGAGGGATTGTTCATAGTTCATACACCCCGTGCTTAGCTATTAGTTATAAATAATTTATTTAATGAAAGAAGTGGGATCATAGGTTGGTGCTAACAATCAAACAAGAGCTGCTCTATACTCATTCCACTGCTGAGAGATGGGCTTCCATAAACACTTCAAACGGCCGGTGATTAAAGAAGCAGGTTGTCGCATTTTTTGGTCAATAGCTAGCTAGAAACAACCCGCCCCAACAATGGCGGCGGCAACGGGTGAACTTCCTGTCTGCTAAAAGTACCTGACAAAACTGGCATCACAGTAAGGCACGTTACAGTGCTAACGTCGGGGAATTTTATTTTGCTCGCCTATTGAACACGGCATTGCAGTCGTACATGCATACATACCAAGATAATTATATTGTTTGGTATTTCTGATAGTTTTTGTGAATATTACTTTTTTTTTTAAACATGTATTAAATAGGGTAAATTTGTTCGCTATAAACTCTTTTGTTGTTTTACACCATTCCCAATACTGAACACACTTAACGCTGAGCTTCAAACGAGAGACAAATATAGAACAGCCACTATTCATTGAAAAGATTGTCTTTGTTGTCCATTGAATATCACGTGATCTGGTGAAAATGTACTATTCTCATAATTAAACATTTCAATAACACAGAAGGGAAACGACATTGTAACCTAAAAATAGTTTTTAAGTTGGAACCCTAAAAGTAGTTGTGTGAAACTTGTGTTATAGATAGGTCTCTAAGGGACTTGGAACAACTAAGCCGTCTTTGATATATTTGATACCCTCTTTACTGATAGTTAGACGTAACCCATTCTTCATAAACCGTGTACACTCGTTACTGACAAAAGATCCTTGCTGAAAAATAAGATCCTATGATCTTTAAATGGGCGGATTTCCTCCATCTTGAAAACAGCGGCACCTTTAACCTTTCAACCCCCACTAATGATTACTTTGATACGATGGGTCATTCATCGTCATGTAATACATAAGTGGGTTGAAAACCAAGTGCTGGTGGTCGAGCGATCCACTTCGACACCTGCGACATGCCAACCAAATCTTGACCACGGGCCGATGACCGACAGATCACAAGCAGACGACACGGGTGGCCCGCCCCTTCATTGTTAGGTTTGTTATGGTCCAGCTCGCCACGCGGCTTCCGGAGACGGTCTACGCTACCATATTTTGTGTTGGTCAACAATGTCAGGGGGTGGCATGGCCCAACACCCGATACACGACGATTTGTGGACATGATACGCTATGGGAGATGATGGCTTGACGTGTTGACTTAAACAATCTCAACAAATAGAGGACGAGACAGAGGGCAAACAGTTCCAAGAATTGTACATCATTCACTAGAGACTTCTTTATTGACAAATGTCAACAGGTGAGCAAGAATAAATGTGACCGGGGGGGGGGGGGGACACAAAAAAAACAAACAACATTTTTTGTGGGCATGATACAAATGTAAACGGGTGAGCAAGAAGAATTGTGACGGGGGGGGGGGACACACAAAAAACCAACAACATTTTTTGTGGTCATGATACATACAAGTACATGACTAAATTTCTTCTGGTCGGGGTTGGCGGTGGGGTTTACGGTTGGAGATAAGCGCCTGACATGTGAATCCAACTAACTACTGTACACAAGATCACATCTACCCAACAGACGACTAGAGCCCCGATGACATTAAGCCTTGCAGTCGACAGTAATGACATGCATTGTTTGCCATGGCTGGCATTGATCAGTATCTTGACCTTATTCCAAAAGGTAATTGCCTCCATACTCCATACCAAATTCAGCCGGGTACGTTGGCATGGCCCCATAACCCACATAGCTAGCCACAAATCCGTTTCATTTAGGCGGAGTGGGGCAGGGGTTGGGGGAAGGGTTGGCGGGATGACTCTCGAAACATCTCATCACTAATCCTATTGAGGTGCGGTTTTCTCTGGAAAGGTCGCCAGTACCTACTGTGATGACAACAGCAGCCTCTACGCGTCTCGGCCCTTACGATCAGCGACAAGGAGATTAGAGACCTCTTAATGACCCACGGATTGCGGCCAACAGAGACGATCATTGGAGTTGGCTACAGCTACTTGAAATGTTTTACCCGGCGCGCAGTTCTGTGACGATAAAACGGCTCTATTGTCCACACGGCAGGTGACACGCGTCCAATGTACCTATCAAGTTGATGACAGGCGCGTTGGACGGTGCGCTAGTCAAGTTCCTTTGATCCCCACTGACAATGGACTTAAAAACGTGTGCGCTGTTCTCTTATAAACTTAATGGATCGAGAAAACCAGTAAGAAACGGGCGCGGGGGAAAAGGGGGGGGGGGGTTCTTTGGTTATGTCCCTCTGATCTGCACTCATTAGTATCTATTGTAAACATCTACAACTTCTTTTCACTGGACATGAGTTTTGCTAAAAAATGTGGTAAAGTTTGAAGCAGACGCCAGCACGTTTTTTAGTAGGTGTCCATCGCTGGTTGGTACAGTTGTATAATGAGAATCACGTCTGGTTGGTACAGTTGTACAATGAGAATCACGGATACTTCGTGGGTTTATACAAATGTGCACACCAAATATTTCTGTTTTATGATACTATTCCAACTTATCCTCCACTTAACAGCATTAGATTTTTTGTATGTAAATTTTCTCTCTATTTTACTTGCTTAATAACTGGTTTCTTTCTTTGTGTTTGTTCAATTGGGTAGGTAAGAGTTGACATTTAAAATCAATGCATTCTACGTGTCTACTAAATGCTAATGAAGAAAACATTGCCAAGTGTCCTACTAGAAGAAGGCCTACCTCGTGTGAGTGACTCAAGGACTGTTTCAGCATGGTGTGCTGGGCCCTCCGCAAGGAGCCTGCTTTGGTCCACTTCTGAATGTTTCCTACTTCATGCTTGTCTTTATCTCGCTGTGAAATAGAAGCATACATGAAACACAACCATAGAGACATTCAATCATGTGACAGCAACTGAGCACCAGGGTATGAATGGAGGGGAACCCTCCTGTGACAGGAGGAGTATCATACTGTGACAGGAGGGGAACCATATTCTGATGTTGTGTCAGAAGGGGAACCATATTCTGATGTTGTGTCAGAAGGGAAACCATATTCTGATGTTGTGTCAGAAGGGGAACCATATTCTGATGTGACAGAAAGGGAACCATATTCTGCTTGTGACAGTAGGGGAACCATATTCTGATGTTGTGACAGAAGGGGAACCATGTTATGATAAACAAGGAGGGAACCATATTATAATAAAGAAGGAGGGAACCACAGTATGATATTGTGACAGGAGGGGAACCATATTCTGATGTTTTGACAGGAAGGGAACCATACTGTGATATTCTGACTGGAGGGAAACCAAACTATGATATTCTGACTTTAGGGGTCCCACGCTGACTGAAGCTGCAGCACAATATAAAAAAATGTGAGGGTTAAACCTGAAAAAATAAACGCAACAAAACAGCGAACGTGTCGGCAGAAAGCCTTCGTCAGCCTCATATGGTTCGTCAACTCATTCTATTTTGTACTAACCTGATTGCAGTCTCTCACCTTATTACCCCATAAAAAATGTGCACAATTGTTATGACAAGAGGGTCACCATGATATTATTAGAAAAGTGGTAGGAATTTCGTGGAATTGGCAGTACAAGAAAGCCAACAAGTCGTTTCACGTATCTGATGTAAACAAACGTAATCATATGGTTCATGTTGAAAGAATGGTTGGGTGGTGTACAAAGAAAGGTTGGGTCGTGTACAAAGAATGGTTGGGTGGCGTACAAAGAATGGTTGGGTAGCATACAAAGAATGGTTGGGTGGCGTACAAAGAATGGTTGGGTGGTGTGCAAAGAATGGTTGGGTGGTGTACAAAGAATGGTTGGGTGGTATACAAAGAATGGTTGCGTGGTGTACATAGAATGGTTGGGTGGTGTACAAAGAATGGCCGTGTGGTGTACAAAGAATGGTTGTGTGGCATACAAAGAATGGTTGGGTGGCATACAAAGAATGGTTGTGTGGTGTACAAAGAATGGTTATGTGGTATACAAAGAATGATTGTGTGGTATACAAAGAATGGTTGGGTGATTGGGTGGTGTACAAAGAATGGTTGGGTGATTGGGTGGTGTACAAAGAATGGTTGGGTGATTGGGCGGTGTACAAATAATGGTTGGGTTATTGGGTGGGGTACAAAGAATGGTTGGGTGATTTGGTGGTGTACAAAGAATGATTGGGTAGTATACAAAGAACGGTTGGATGTTTTAAAACAACATGGTCGGATGTTGCGCAATAACCGATTAAAAGACGCACCATTTCCACATGGCATAAAGTAAACAAGTTATTGGTCAACACGTCGCCCTCCCTTTTCTACGAATCATTTGGTTAGTCTCACACCCTTCCATATCATTTGAATAAGCCCAACGCGCACCTCCCTCTGACGCAGTGGTTCTCAACCTTTCTAATGCCGCGACCCTTTAATACAGTTCGTCATGTCGTGGCGACCCCCAGCCACACAATAATTATTTTCTTTGCTACTTCATAACTGTAGAGTATATGTGTTTTCTGATGGTCTTAGGCGACCCACTGGAAAGGGTCGTGCGACCCCCAGGTTGAGAACCGCTGCTCTAACGTGACAGTGCGTTTTAAACCTTGAAGATAACGGACTTCCAATTTATTTATTGAATTGCAAAAAGAACCGCAGAATTTACAAAATAAACTTGTGACTCATTACATAAAGGAAAATGTTGATGGAGAAATGTTTTAAAGTATATAAACATTTATACCATACACTTAAAACAATCTCTAGGTCATTGAAGCCCTTTTCCTTGCATCCCTTAAGATCCCAACTGCAGGGGTGCCCAGATGCGAGGACCCCAGGCTTGGAAACCGCGAATGAAAGCGATACACTAACCATAGACCGTAGTTCGTCTCAGTCTCAAACAGAACACAAGGACGGCTAAGCCATTCCTGAATACAACAGTTACGACGTCATCAGTGCTCTCACAACGATGCCACCATAATTATTTCATTGTTAAAAACAACTTCTCTTTTAAAACAATCATCTGGAATGTGAAGGATAACCTGATTTCACTCATACATAAAATATGGCTACATTTATAGCGATAAAAAGCCTTACAGTTGAACAAAAATTTAACGAACAGCAAGTACTTACTGGCGTTATCCGATAGCTACATTTCAACATTATGTATTACAAGTATGCAAAGCTATATTACACAGTTACATTTCAACATATGTATTTCAAAGATGTAAGGCTATATTTCGTATACGCATTTCTAAATTAGGTATTTCATATGTGTAAGGCTGTATTACATTTCAACATAATGTATCCCATGTGTAAGCCTACCCACACATGGTACAAGTACACACACAATTCTAAGTACCACTTTTGGTTCCTACACTAATTGATACAGATATTTCTCAAACGTTTCTGCTTCACTGATTCCAATCATTGATTGCTAGACCCGGCGCTTCTCAAACTTTAAATGATTGACAACATAACTAGCCTGCTTCAACCACAACTTAAAATATTTACAAAAATATCTTAAGACCGTCCTGATTTTTTTTTTATAACCGTTGTTTACGCTATCGTGCATCACTAACCATATTTTTTTTAAAAAATGTATGTATATATGTGTGTATGTATATATATATATATATATGCTTGAGCAGAGTCTTAGACGATACGTGTATTTTAGAGACACATATTTTAGATCATCGCTAGATACACGTATTTTAGGTCATCGCTAGATAAACGTATTTTAGGCCATCGCTAGGTACAAGTACATTGCCATATGCACGCAATTTAGGTCATCGCTAGATACACGTATTTCAGGTCATCGCTAGATACAGATATTTTAGGTCATCGCTAGATACATGTAATTTAGGTCATCGCCAGATAAAGTATTTTAAGTCATCACCACATACGCGTATTTAAAGTCATCACTAGATACACATATTTTAGGTCAAAGCTAGATACACGTATTTTAAGTCGTCGCTAGATATACGTATTTTAGGTCATCGCTAGATACACGTATTTTAGTCAACGAAAAAAAAAGTCACATTGTTCCGCTGACCACAACAAATCTATCGTTATCCTAACTTGAGGTGAGACTTAGTACAGCGCCGAGATGCAAAGCTTGAAACTTGCTACGTGTGTGGTGTATCGTGTATGCTGGTGGTGGTGTATCGTGTTAATGCTGGTGGTGTATCGTGTATGCTGGTGGTATACTAGTGTCGGAGTATCAGTTTACTTGTCACGTGGTGTATCGCGTATGCTAGTGTTATACTATTGTCGGGGTGTCAGTTTACTTGTCAAAAGGTTGGACTTCTTCAGTTCCATCGAGAAACAAACCCATAAATAATGTATTGATATCAGTCGTGCTAATGAATGCTCTATGGTTTATCGATCGATACAACAGATACTGATCAGTCTATTGATCTCGTGAAACATCGAACTGATACCTTTGGGTTAAGTTTTAATCATTAAAAAAAAAAAAACATTAGACTTGAAAAAATATGACTGTACTGCACATGGCTGACATCCCGGGCCGGAGACATATCATATCATAATGTAAGACATTCCTCGTTGTTTCATACTGTGAACTGTATGTTTGTCTTACGGAAACACTAAAAATCTTCGGCTATAGTAGACAGCCTATATATTCACCAAAACTATCACAATTGGCAATGCAGATAGCTTAGAACAGAGTTCCCCAACCTTTTCTGTACTTTGCACTCCTTAAAAATTGACTAAGTTCCGCACATCCTATAAACTTAACAATACATTTTTAAAATTGAAGAAAAGGAATTTAATTTATTCATTTTAATTTATAAGTGAGCAGTAGAAATTAGAGGAACAGAACGAGACAAAAATGATTATAATAACTTAAAAGTCCCAGGCTCTTATCTTCTTTTCCTCGCACCCCAGTTGTAGGAAACCTGCTATAGGATATCTATATAGATATTAGCGTGAGGACAATAAATATGGCATTGTGATTCTAGACAAGGGGTCTCAGCCTCGCGGGCCATTTGCGGCCCGAAAGACGATATTTTGCGGCCCGCTACATGACAGCAAAGTTTAGTGTTAATGCGGCCCGCGGGTTTTCCCCATTGTCATTTCTATAATGCGACTCTCTGCGACAGTTTCAGTTGAATCTCACCGACTAGTCTGTCTGATTTTATTATGTTTGTATAGATTTAGAAGTTGATTATAATGGTAAAAACCATTTTAAAATATGAGTAAAAGATTTTATTTTATAGCATTTTATGAGACAAGCCTGGTTTAAGTGCGCAGATGAGAAAAGTTTAAAAGTCATTTAGTGGGTAATGCACAACACCATAATTGTGTCAATCATAGCAATCTGAGACAGTATAAAATTTCCTTTTAAAATTACCGCGGATCATATGACTTTTTGGGAGTGCCTATCTGTGTGAAAAGCTCTTTTCCACTATGAATTTTAGCAAGTCAAAGTTCAAAGCCAAACTTACTGATGAGCGTCTTCAAGCTTTACTGAGGGTCTCAGTTGCTTCCTCACTCAAGCCAAATATGGCTCAGCTGTATAAGAAAAAGTGCTGACAGGTCTCTGGCAAAAAGAGGTAGGAGGAAGTAAGTGAAGTCTAGTTCTTGAGAACCCTTAATGTTTTTATTTGTTATTCATCAAGGTTGAGCAGATTGTAAAAGTTGTATACACATAAACACATGTAGTAGTTGGAATGGTGAAATTTTTTCCTGAATGCCAAATTAGTAGACATTTCTGGCTTTAATTTTGATGTCCCTAACATCAACAGTGACCTGAGATTATTATCGGACAAATTTGTTCTCAAATTGTTCATCACGTATTTCATTCTTGAAAATGTTTGCTCACTCTAGTGTGTTGTTCCAAAGATTACCAAAGATTCCAAAGGTACCTTGGTGCAAAAGTTTTGACATTAGAAAAGTCTTCCTAGGACAAAAACTGGTAAAAAGCCACCAGTACTTCTTTGAAATTGTCCCCAAGGAGGTCATTATTAACACTCAATGACCTCCATCCGCAGTTCATTATTTTGCAATGTACTGATCGGTTGGAAAACATATCTCACTACTGCTCGCCTCTATTTTAATTCGGTAAAAACATATCATACTACTGCTCGCCTCTATTTTAATTTGGTAAAAACATATCGTACACGTAAGTGGCGTGGCGGCTGATCTTGGCAGGTTACACGGAAATTTCATTGATTTTTCCGTAGTCAAAAAGGTCTCCATGGACCAGATAATAGGGCCTCACGGGTTGCATCCGGCCAGCGGGCCGTAGTTTGGAGACCCCTGGGCTAGATACATGTGATCAGATAGACTAATGTTATGAACATAAAGGTCTAGATACATGTGATCAGTTAGACTAATGTTATGAACATAAAGGTCTAGATACATGTGATCAGATAGACTAATGTTATGAACATCAAGGTCTAGATACATGTGATCAGATAGACTAATGTTATGAACATAAAGGTCTAGATACATGTGATCAGATAGACTAATGTTATGAACATCAAGGTCTAGATACATGTGATCAGATAGACTAATGTTATGAACTTATAAAGGTCTAGATACATGTGAGCAGATAGACTAATGTTATGAACATAAAGGTCTAGATACATTTGATCAGATAGACTAATGTTATGAACATAAAGGTCTAGATACATGTGATCAGATAGACTAATGTTATGAACATAAAGGTCTAGATACATGTGATCAGATAGACTAATGTTATGAACATAAAGGTCTAGATACATGTGATCAGATAGACTAATGTTATGAACATAAAGGTCTAGATACATTTGATCAGATAGACTAATGTTATGAACATCAAGGTCTAGATACATTGATCAGATAGACTAATGTTATGAACATAAAGGTCTAGATACATGTGATCAGATAGACTAATGTTATGAACATAAAGGTCTAGGACATGTGATCAGATAGACTAATGTTATGAACATAAAGGTCTAGATACATGTGATCAGATAGACTAATGTTATGAACATAAAGGTCTAGATACATTTGATCAGATAGACTAATGTTATGAACATAAAGGTCTAGATACATGTGATCAGATAGACTAATGTTATGAACATCAAGGTCTAGATACATGTGATCAGATAGACTAATGTTATGAACATAAAGGTCTAGATACATGTGATCAGATAGACTAATGTTATGAACTTATAAAGGTCTCGATTTTCAAGACGCGAAAAACAAAATAACACAGACCGTCAGTTTTACACATTTAACATAGATGTGTTTTTATGATTATTTCGACAGCACACTATAACACTGTTGACACTGTGCACAGACGGCCAACAGGATTTCCTTTAAGATTAAGCGTGCACTTTCTGGGTGCTTTTCTGAAGAGTGGGGATAAAATTCTCCACTGAGGAATATTGCCTGTGCTAGGTCAGGCTTCACGGGCCACTTTGATCTCGAGTCAACTCTTCGCGGCCAGCATGGCACTGAACTTATTACATAAAATAAAGATCAAAATAATGACTACGTAATAAAATATGTATTCTCAGTGCACTTACTTCTCAGATGATGACATGACGTCTACCTGTGCCGCCTCACACTGATAAAGAGCATTGATTTAAATCCAACTATAACTTTTTACACTATTTATATACAGTCCTTAATTTCAGATAAAAAGGTGCCCGCTAATCCCCCTTTGATCAACGCAAGTGAGATGGGAGCGCGAAAATCGAAGACGCCAACCGAAGTGTCCCGAGCGCAAACCCCCACCCCATAAAATGTTGGATAGATTCAAAATGCAAGGGTGCATTTTGGTGCATACCTAAATTGACTTGTAGCATCATGCTACACGTAACCGGAGAGTAACTCAAGAAATGCTAGTGGACATTAAGATGCCCTTTAAATAGCCGTGTTCATATCAATAAAAAGAAGTTGCTAAATAATAATATTGTTTTATAAATAAAAAGAAGTTGCTAAATAATAATATTGTTTTATAATTTTAATTTAAGATAACTTATTTGAATCTAATTTTTAAACTATAAAATTCCCCCCCCCCCCCCCCCCTGTAGCGTACACCCTAAACGGCGCATACCGTTACTAAAAAGTGCTGTACATAGATTTCAATTGTCCGTTTATGCCAACAATGAAAATAACCGCTAATTGAAAGGAGAAGTAAGTTAATCATTAGCGATACATCCGGTGGGCCACAATATTTAATGGGGTCTGCCGCATACAAGCCTGTGTATGGCACCGATGTGTATGTGTTATGAGCTGTGTGTGGCCAGGGACGTCATTTGGGTAGGGCAGGGTGGGGCATTTGCCCCCCCCCCTTTTGAATTTGTAGGATTTATTTAAAGTGCTATGTACTGCGGTGCCTCCAGTAATAAACAACTAAACAAGCAGACCAAGGTTTGGCTTTTGCCCCCCCCCTCCCCCTCCCCCTTTTCCTCTTTCAACGAAAAAAAAACATGAAACGACGTCCCCAGTGGGTGACACCGATAACTGTGATTTTAGCTGTGTATGGCATCAATGTATGTGATCTAAACTGTGTATAGCACCAATGTGTGCGATCTAAGCTGTGCATGGCACCGATGTGTATGCGGGCTCTGTATAGGACCGATGTGTATGCGGGCTCTGTATAGGACCGATGTGTGTGCGGGCTCTGTATAGGACCGATGTGTGTGCGGGCTCTGCATAGGACCGATGTGTATGCGGGCTCTGTATAGGGCTGATGTTTCTAAGCTGTGCATGGCACCGATGTGTGTGCGGGCTCTGTATAGGACCGATGTGTATGCGGGCTCTGTATAGGACCGATGTGTGTGCGGGCTCTGTATAGGACCGATGTGTGTGCGGGCTCTGTATAGGACCGATGTGTATGCGGGCTCTGTATAGGGCCGATGTGTGTGCGGGCTCTGTATAGGACCGATGTGTATGCGGCTCTGTATAGGACCGATGTGTATGAGGGCTCTGTATAGGACCGATGTGTGTGTGACACAAGCCTGTGGTTGACATTATTTGTATGTAAAACAACCTTTTATATTTATGTGATACAAGCCTGTGTATGTCACCGATGTGTATGTGATGCTACAAACACGTTATGGTCTGGGTTATCACGCTGGAAAAATGCCTGTAATGTGGGTATGGGATGAAACCATCCATAGATTCTAGATGAGTGTGGTAAATCAAATAATAAAGATATCTATACACACCTTGATGACATCGTAATGTCTTTGCTATTCAAGTGAATTAGTATCATTTCCTTATGTTGCTATCAAATGTGTTAGATAAAGATGTCATGTGCTATTAGCACATTATAGCATCGCAGAGCCTCATAAAAACACATCTATAACGGTATGCATAACAATTTCAGTAGCCTCTATGACTCTACGTAACCGAGGAATATTTGTTTCCGTAGATAGCTATAGAAATTAATCCATTAGAACTACAAGATCACTGTTGACAACATGTCTAACCTAGAAATTAATCCATTAAAACTACAAGATCACTGTTGACACATGTCTAACCTAGAAATTAATCCATTAAAACTACAAGATCACTGTTGACACATGTCTAACCTAGAAATTAATCCATTAGAACTACAAGATCACTGTTGACACATGTCTAACCTAGAAATTAATCCATTAAAACTACAAGATCACTGTTGACACATGTCTAACCTAGAAATTAATCCTTTAGAACTACAAGATCACTGTTGACACATGTCTAACCTAGAAATTAATCCTTTAGAACTACAAGATCACTGCTTGCTCAAAGAAATCCGTGAACAAATTGGTACCTATCAGATTTCTAGCTTGATTCTACAAGTGGATCCGAACAGTTCACCGCAGTACATTCAGAAGTCTTTCACGGCCTGTGGATAGCACAGTGTTTATGGTGGGACGATCGTGATACAAGGGAAATAATCAGACAAAGATTTATTATCCACTTATGCACTTTGTTTATCAAGGTTAGGTGTGTGTGTGTGTGGGGGGGGGGGGTAGATCTGAGAAAAGGAATCATGAACAACTTTCTTCTCTTTTAGTGACAGTCGGGTCTCCACACACACACACACCTGCCCATAACCACCACACACATACATGATTTTTGATTAAATTCACATGAAAAAAACAGCATGAAATAGTCGCCAGTTACGCTTTCGTGTTTTTTTTTTTAAAACGTAATAGTTACAGAACGCTTTTTACAAATAATAAATCTCGAATCTATCATGACATTTAAAGAGTCTGAATATGCCCGCGAGTCCCAGAATAGTTGTTAGGAAATATAATGTTTAAACTAAAAACGGTTGATGACCACTGGACTAGATTCATGGGACCCTTAAGAAACGGGGCAAAACAAGTGAGCACGTCATTATGGATTCAATCGTTCTTAATACCGTCAAGGTATCGTTTACAATTGTCTTTATTTACGCAATAGACTAGTACACGTGTTTGAAAACTAATGAATCGTCCGTGGGGGTGGGGTGGATGAGAGTTTGCTCTACGGCAATACTCTACGGTTAAATGCCCAATTTAGAATACAATTAGTTAATAAACTTTCAACGATTAGAAGTGACAACAAAAGAAGAGAACTTTTACGACAAGGTCTTTTATTTAAAGTAGTACTTCCCACCCACTCATCCATTTAAAGTAGTAATTCCCACCCACTTGACCATTTAAAGTAGTACTTCCCACCCACTCACCCATTTCAAGTAGTAATTCCCACCCACTCACCCATTTAAAGTAGTACTTCCCACCCACTCACCCATTTAAAGTAGTACTTCCCACCCACTCGACCATTTACAAGTAGTACCTCCCACTCACCTATTTAAAGTAGTACTTCCCACCCACTTGGCCAATTACAAGTACTCCTTCCCACCCACTTGACCATTTACAAGTAGTACTTCCCACCCACTAACCCATTTACAAGTAGTACCTCCCACCCACTCTTCCATTTAAAGTAGTACTTCCCACCCACTTTTCCATTTTAAGTAGTACTTCCCACTTACTCTACCATTTATAAGTAGTACTTCCCACCCACTCACCCATTTACAAGTAGTACCTCCCACCCACTCACCCATTTAAAGTAGTAATTCCCACCCTACTCACCCATTTAAAGTAGTACTTCCCACCCACTCGACCATTTAAAGTAGTACTTCCCACCCACTCACCCATTTAAAGTAGTACTTCCCACCCACTCACCCATTTAAAGTAGTAATTCCCACCCACACACCCATTTAAAGTAGTACTTCCCACCCACTCACCCATTTAAAGTAGTACTTCCCACCCACTCGACCATTTACAAGTAGTACTTACCACCAACTCACCCATTTAAAGTAGTACTTCCCACCCACTCACCCATTTAAAGTAGTACTTCCCACCCACTCACCCATTTAAAGTAGTAATTCCCACCCACACACCCATTTAAAGTAGTACTTCCCACCCACTCACCCATTTAAAGTAGTACTTCCCACCCACTCGACCATTTACAAGTAGTACTTACCACCAACTCACCCATTTAAAGTAGTACTTCCCACCCACTCACCCATTTAAAGTAGTACTTCCCACCCATTCGACCATTTACAAGTAGTACTTCCCACCCACTTACCCATTTAAAGTAGTAATTCCCACCCACTTGACCATTTACAAGTACTACTTCCCACCCACTTGACCATTTACAAGTAGTACTTCCCACCCACTCAGCCATTTACAAGTAGTACCTCCCACCCGCTCTTCCATTTAAAGTAGTACTTCCCACCCACTTTTCCATTTTAAGTAGTACTTCCCACTTACTCTACCATTTAAAATAGTACTTCCCACCCACTCACCCATTTATAAGTAGTACTTCCCACCAACTCACCCGACTCAAAAACAAACAAAAACAACATACAGTGGAACCTCTCATAACGAGTTTAATTCGTTCCAGACTCTTACTCGTTTAGCGAAACACTCGTTAAACGAAACAATTTTCCCCATACAAATCAATGTAAAATACGATAATGCGTTCCATGCTGAAAAAATACTAATTTTTCAAAAATTTGTATTAACATTTATTCAAATAAAATTACTTATGAATTGTTAAGGAGTGTAACAACTTGGAATACAATTTAGATTTGAAACAAAAAACGTAAATAAAAATATGAATTTATGACAAAAAATAAATCCTTTTTAACTAGAAAACTGTCTAAAGACATTTGTTTTTGCCGACGTTACAAAATTTGGCGAAAATGTGTCACAGCATTATCATTGAATAAATTTGTAGCAGGAATAGCCACGCTCACACCTTGTTCTCGCTTTTCAATGATTTTACGTTTCATTTCATCAGTTATTTTTTCTCTTTTATGATTGTCTTATTGTGTTGTTGTTGTTTTTCCGAAGACATTTTAGCATAGGTTATTACACTTTGCACATAAAAAAATTACGAATACTGTCAGAATACAAAATTTAAAAAAACTGGTGATCACAAACGAAAACAATACGCTAACAGACCGAGTGCTCAACACAGACTAATGCAATGGTTCTCAACATTCCTAGTGCCGCGACCCTTTAATACTGTTTCTCGTGTCTGGGCATTCAGCAACCTAATTATTTTCGCTGCTACTTCATAGTTGTAAGAATATGTGTTTTCAGATAGTCTAAGGCGACCCCTGGGAAAGGGCTGCACTACCCCCAAAGGGGTCACGACCCACAGATTGAGAAAAGCTGCACTAATGCATCGGCGCGGAAGCCCCGGTTCACAATGAATGTCAGGAAAAATGGACTTCCCCTTTCTGCGTAACTCGTTATGCATCGCTCATTAAGGGAGCAACTTCTTCACATTTTTTTTTTTGCCTTTTATGCGAATTACTCGTTATGAGAGGTGCTCGTTATGAGAGGTTCCACTGTAATATGTTTATTGATTTTTTGCATCTAAATTAAAAGTGTTTAATTTTTAGTCTCATTTTTTTTTTACACTGGATATTATATTTCCATTTCTTTCACAATAGGGTCAACAAGACGCACTCACATTTAAGTAAAGAGTACAAAAAAAAATTTAAACATACAAAAATATTTAAATAATAGAAAATTGTTATTAAAGGGGAAAAAATGCTTAATGCATGTTAACAGAAATTTAATATATATTATGACCATTGCCCAATTATCACCTGCATAGAAAGAAATGGGTAATGACAACCGAAATTTCGCTGTGCTATTATCAATAGTAGATTTTACTTTACAAGAGATTATTAGAAAAATCCATACCACTTGCATTGCCTTCTATTGAACGAACCCTTGAGCAGAGTCAAAGTACCCTTGACCACCTTGGCGAGTAACTTGGTTAGCAAATGTTTTGAAAGACCAGCAAATATATTGAATGAGTAATGTCTTCATAGACCAGCATCCTCTTGCAATGCTAGTAGTAAGAATCTTCACATGCTTTGTCTTCTGTGTGCCTCAAATCACAACCAAGCCAACCTTCCTCCCTCTCTCTCACTCTGCATAAGCTAACCTTCCTCCCTCTCTCTCACTCTGCAGAAGCCAACCTTCCTCCCTCTCTCTCACTCTGCATAAGCCAACCTTCCTCCCTCTCTCTCACTCTGCAGAAGCCAACCTTCCTCCCTCTCTCTCACTCTGCATAAGCCAACCTTCCTCCCTCTCTCTCACTCTGCATAAGCCAACCTTCCTCCCTCTCTCTCACTCTGCAGAAGCCAACCTTCCTCCCTCTCTCTCACTCTGCAGAAGCCAACCTTCCTCCCTCTCTCTCACTCTGCAGAAGCCAACCTTCCTCCCTCTCTCTCACTCTGCAGAAGCCAACCTTCCTCCCTCTCTCTCACTCTGCAGAAGCCAACCTTCCTCCCTCTCTCTCACTCTGCAGAAGCCAACCTTCCTCCCTCTCTCTCACTCTGCAGAAGCCAACCTTCCTCCCTCTCTCTCACTCTGCAGAAGCCAACCTTCCTCCCTCTCTCTCACTCTGCAGAAGCCAACCTTCCTCCCTCTCTCTCACTCTGCAGAAGCCAACCTTCCTCCCTCTCTCTCACTCTGCAGAAGCCAACCTTCCTCCCTCTCTCTCACTCTGCAGAAGCCAACCTTCCTCCCTCTCTCTCACTCTGCAGAAGCCAACCTTCCTCCCTCTCTCTCACTCTGCAGAAGCCAACCTTCCTCCCTCTCTCTCACTCTGCAGAAGCCAACCTTCCTCCCTCTCTCTCACTCTGCAGAAGCCAACCTTCCTCCCTCTCTCTCACTCTGCAGAAGCCAACCTTCCTCCCTCTCTCTCACTCTGCAGAAGCCAACCTTCCTCCCTCTCTCTCACTCTGCAGAAGCCAACCTTCCTCCCTCTCTCTCACTCTGCAGAAGCCAACCTTCCTCCCTCTCTCTCACTCTGCAGAAGCCAACCTTCCTCCCTCTCTCTCACTCTGCAGAAGCCAACCTTCCTCCCTCTCTCTCACTCTGCAGAAGCCAACCTTCCTCCCTCTCTCTCACTCTGCAGAAGCCAACCTTCCTCCCTCTCTCTCACTCTGCAGAAGCCAACCTTCCTCCCTCTCTCTCACTCTGCAGAAGCTAACCTTCCTCCCTCTCTCTCACTCTGCATAAGCTAACCTTCCTCCCTCTCTCTCACTCTGCAGAAGCCAACCTTCCTCCCTCTCTCTCACTCTGCAGAAGCCAACCTTCCTCCCTCTCTCTCACTCTGCAGAAGCTAACCTTCCTCCCTCTCTCTCACTCTGCAGAAGCTAACCTTCCTCCCTCCTTCTCACTCTGCAGACTTTCTTGTAGCAGTGCCGGCGATGTACTAGTTAAACGTTGTAGCATTGTCTCATTTCCTCAAAAGGAAGCAAAGGCGGGTGCCATTGATAGGTTCCTCCTTAAATGTTTAACTTACACAGAAAGATGTCCTACAGAATTATCCTTCACCTCTCTTTTCCCCCTGGCCCCAGTAAAAATTTAATTTAATTAATAAATTATATTACTTTATATTAAAGATAAATAATAAACACGTACAATCATTATTATATTATTATTTTTACCTTGTCTAACAAATAATGTTTGTGCATTTAATGCTTAGGTGGAAAATTTGATTTGATCTTTTAAACAAAACAAAAACATCACCAGTTTGGAAGCCATCCATACAATAATAATAATAATGATAATAATAATAATAATAATAATGAAGTAGAGGCTGAATTAGCACTTCACTGCATCTTCACAATTTTACCCCATAAAATGAAGAAATACCGTCATCATCTGCCATTATAAACCTATACTTTAGGCAGCAGAGTACAAGACATTACAAAAACAGTGAAACATTTCTGTGACTAATGCCCTCTTATTTACAATAATCACTAATTTGTTTTAAACACAGTTAAGAAATGTGCCAAACCCATGACTTAATCCTATGCTGTTTTAGTGTTAAAATTTGTTATGGAATAAATGAATTCCTCATTATTCATGGGAGCAAGACAAAAACCAATACTTTGTTACTTTTACCAGAAAGTGTTTCATATTTTCAAACCAGTTTATTGTATCCATTAATTTACACAAAATAACTTTTTTAAATGTAGTCTCAGACTTGTGTTAATTGATTCAGAAAGGTATTCATTGGTTCCACACTTTTAATAAGTTTTAACTAAATCTGGGCAAAAATCAAATTACTTGTCAAAATGGGCATTTTACAGAGAAGTGTGATGACGCAGGATGGCTGGTTTTTACTTTGAAAAATTTATTTTAAAATGTCTTACGTTAAAATGTTGTGCTTTATCATTTTTAATTGAAACAAAAATGTGTACTTTAAACTGTGTTTTCATTTATCACGATGAAAATAACTTTATGTACAATGTAATCCTAGCAAAAGTACATTTATTTATATCAATAAAAGAATCTTATCGTAAATTAATTTTTTTTGCTGAGAAAATTGCATATAAAACATAGTATTGTTTTAGATGAAACATTAGAATTTACTGTCTCCCTAACGGAACATATTTATCTTGTGGTAACTAAATGTGAAGTCTCATTTTTGTCACCAAAAAATTGTGTCATTCCTCCAATTTTATTTAAGATCTAGGGCTGCCCCATGTCCTGTAAAACTATTTTTAAAAATTGCATGATACAGACCTGTTTACTCTTACGATTTTGGCATACAATGTACGATTTTGAGGTGTAAACATTATTTACCGTATGTTTATTTTTTACTATAAATATAAGGTATTGAACGATTTTGTGATGATATTGTACGATTTTAAGAGGTTGAGGGTAAACAGGTCTGATGATAGAAAAGTAAATAAAATGTTCTGTCACATGATCTAACCAATAAATGTTTGAAAAGTTTGTGTCTTAAGTTATTAGGTTTTTAGTTTCTTAGTAAAATTTGAAAACCTGACTTCCAAGTTACAGTTTATATTTAAATATATTTTGTTTTGTTGGGAGGCGTTATGGCATGCATTTATGGAACCACAAGAATGGTGGCTAGAAAAATGTGGTAGCCACTGATCTCTAAGATTTATAATGACAGAAAATGAGTAATTTTGCCTATCTCTTACCTTCTTTGAAAGAGCGAATCCTTCGGAGAACCTACGACTGTCTTCATCCATTGCTGCCTTCCTGTCCTTCTTGAACTGCTCCAAAATTTGACGTATGTATGGATCATCTTCACTTTCATCTTCTTCATCATCATCCTCATCATCATCATCATCTGAATCTGAATCTCTGTGTGGGAAAAATGGAGCTGGTGGTGCTGAGGGAGATCGAAACACAGATGACGTTGGTGAAGTGTGGGGAAAAGCTCTAGGACTTAGTTTTCCCAGTGTTTCTAGGTCAACAGTTTCTGGTCTGTTCTGGATTCTGTGCTTAACTAGAGGTGCAGAAACGGGTCTTGGAACCTGGAAAGCTGAACGACCTGAATTTGCTACCAAATTCATTGAACTTGATGGAACATTCTTAGGAGCAACAAAGAAGTCCTGCTGGGTACCTCCACCAGCTTCCAGAATGGCATGACCATCATCTGCCACGGACAAAGACAGAACAGGGTCTCCAGCATGGGATTCGCCATCACTACCAATCCTACAGTTCTGCTCTTGAAGTTGCTGCTGGCGAGCCTGAAGAAGTCTTTGCATGCTCTGCCTTAAATTTTCAGTATTTGTGACATTTGGTCTTTGAGCATCAACAAACTTTGCTTGCGCTGTGGGAGGATAAGCTGGATCGGGCATGGCTCTAGGAGTTAACTTGTTTATTGGTCTTGGGCCTTGTTGCCAACATTCTTCACTACTGGTGGAGACATTCAAGCCTAAAGTGAAAGATAAGATCTACTGTTTAAAAGACTTCATAATTTTATTGCATTCATTATTTTAGAGAAATCAAAATTAACAAGATGCACATTTTTTTTTAAACCTAGTTTTTTGTGTCTCCTTAAAAAGCAAATTAGTTCTGTAGTGTAAGACCACTGAGAAAATGATAAATAATTTTTGACCCATTTAAAAAAATGAATTCTTCAAAAGGTATGAAAAATGCTTGTCTCAACTGCATCTATAAAGAAGTTGTGTTAGGTTTATTTAACCATTACTATCAGGTAGAATTTAAAAAACAACACAAACTTTCAACAAAGGTTTTACATTCCTCATTTTATAATACAAAGTATGTAGCTTTCAAATTTTTTTTCAATGTCTACTAAGGAAGTATATTTTTACAGATAAAATTGTATTCTACCCTGGCATCACAGCTAGAACTACTAGAGCTAAGGATTTTGAAAACATGCCTGCTGCTTAAAGCCAGATTTTTTTGTTGACCTTGAATACTTCAGTTATATAGTCAATAATATGACAAAAGGTATTTTATTTAACCTCTGACAATAATTTGTTATTGAAAATTAATAATGGTCAATTTTCATATATTAAGTCCCTAAGTCCCTATTACAAACAATATTTACCTCTTCTGGCATCAAATGCAGACAATGGCCGCTGGGCAGATGGAGGACCTCTGGTTATGTTGACAACATCCACTTCGGGGGAATGATGGCCTTGAATTGAAAGAATGCTTGTATCCATGGCAATAGACATATCACTGTTGTCAAGTTGCTGTCTACCATTTGGTAAATCAACAACACAAACCTATAGAGAAAAAAAATGTTTATTAGTCATTCATCACAAGTTTTGAACATCCATTGCAATCTCAACATGTTGAACTAATTATAAGTGGTATAAATCAGAGCCTAGTCAAGGTGGTCCAGTTGATAATTCCTGCTAGTCAGTCACACTGAAATGTTTCAGAAGCACTGCTTTAAATAAAACCAATTTATATTAACTTTTTAAAATCTACAATCTTGGTACAAAAAGATTTTATAAATCCATAAAAAGCGTTTGCTTAAGTCAGTGCAAGAGAATTAAAGTCATAAGACAAGGAGAACTTTTTAAACAGTGAAATTAAATACATTTTTTAACATCCTTATCAGAAAACAAGCATCAATGAATTGGCAAAATTAATATCTGCAATGAATCTACAAGCCAATCATTTTTCAATATCAATTTATTAAAGATATACTGACAGCTATTTTTTATATCTTTGATTTTCCTATCATCCTATGTCCTGTAAACTCTATCCTTTCAGTTACTTAGGCTGCTGAGATGTAAAGCAATTGGGATTTTTAGTAGAAGGCCTAAAATATGTAGTTTTGTTTTCAGATAATACCAGCCAGCACTTAGTCTAATTAAAAGCACCATGGCAGACTCTATTACCAATTATAAATTATTTAATTTCCAATGGATGGGAACTTAAAATACATGCTTTTTAAAAGCAATCTACTGACTATTAAATCCCATGTCGGCACCAAAAGCTCAGTTTTATGGTTTAATGAAGTTGAAATGGAATGGATTACTTCTCCTATGAATATTTGTAAAATCTAGGATGGCTTAATTTGTGATTCACACAATTATAAGAGCAATGATGGCTAGACAAGTGGTTGCCATGGTGATCAATTGACATAATATCAAGAAACAGCAACTTTGTAATAGACTAAATCGAGTCTGCTGAATCTAAATCTGATGTCAGATATTGTATAAGACATCAGGAGCTTAAGTAATGCAGTCTACATGAGCAAAATTAAATTGTTTATTATGCAAATTCTTTATAGAACTATTATTTGCTTCAATAAAAAGGCTTGATAAGAAAACATGCCAGTGGCTTTTGAACAATACAATAAAATATAGGAAAAATGAATATTATGAAAATGTTTTTAAATCTATTATAAATATATGTAAGTTACTCAGATGAAAGCATCCATTTAAAAATGTCCTCGTCAGCTTTACTCTATATGAGTTCAAAAATGCTATAGACACTTGTTCTTATAAGTGACTGCTGTTGCCTACTGCAGAAATCAGCAGTAGTAATAACTCATCATGTTGGAATTATTTTGGCCTTGAAATCTTGTTTCCAAGGTAGAGATATCTAGATGAAATCTATCTCCATACTCATTACTTGCATCACCCAAGTTTTGTGGGGAAAAATTCAAATGAGAATGTAAGAAATGTATTTATAGTGATGTCTGGCAGCCAAGTTTTTTGTAGGCTGTTAGAGTGTTGCTAATGAGTTCAGTATAGTTCTCAGCTTGCTGATTACCAACGAACATGCACCACAAGCGGCAAGTACAAGTGGGTTCGACTTGGTTCTAAATACTGTATCATGCATCAGTTTGCAAATTTCTAGTCCAATAAAAACTCCAGCTTTCAGCTTAGGGACCATGCACATATCATATAACTCAAAGGGGTGCGGTTGGTTTATTATTTTTTAATATTGTATTATATGCGGTGGGGGTAGTAAAGAGCAATGTTAAGTAACAATTCTTTTTACTTGATATTTTCTTTTATTAATTATTACTTTTTCTAAATTTAATAAAGAGCAATGTTAAGTAACAATTCTTTTTACTTGATATTTTCTTTTATTAATTTTTGCTTTTTCTAAATTTAGTAAAGAGCAATATTAAGTAACAATTCTTTTTACTTGATATTTTCTTTTATTAATTTTTGCTTTTTCTAAATTTAGTAAAGAGCAATATTAAGTAACAATTCTTTTTACTTGATATTTTCTTTTATTAATTCTTGCTTTTTCTAAATTTACGCTTTCAAATTTACTAAATTAGGCTAGCTTATTAGAAACTGAATTGCATTTTTTGCTTACAAATTAGGACATTTTGTCTAAAATAATTTCTAGCACAAAATTTGTTGTAGTACTAATGTTTTATGGAAGAGGGGGGGTATGTGGGGGAAGGGGGGGGGTTTCAACAATGGAACTGTTGTATAATATCATAAGGGGTATGGGTCGGATCAAATAGGTGGGGACAAATGTAATAATTTTGTGTTATATAATATGTGCACGGCCCCTTATCATCAGTTTTGATAGCTCAGAACTTCTCTATCATATACCGGAAGCTTTATCCATTACGATCCATTGACATTAAAATAATTTCACAATGCCCAGTTTAATATGAAGTGGTGGTAAGTACACTTTCAAAGGATAAACAAATGATTAGTCTTGCATGTTCTCCCAACCAACAATGGGGTCAGATCTATGAGGCCACCATTTCACTTTATTAATGGTTCCTGTCATGACTGTTCCACAAACATCAAAAGCACAAAGATTTTGGGGACCCCCAGCTGTAGGACTAGAAGAAGTGCTGCCACTTTCAGTTCAGTACAGTGGCTCCAGTTGTGATCTGAGAAATTAAAGCCTTTCAAAAGTCTCATTCTGAATCATGTCTTTTTGAGGCTTACAGTCTGAGCCATAGGAATAGATGTTTTTTCATAACCATGGTGAAAAAACACAGCTTTCAAGAACACTTTGCTGGAATCTATGAACAATCTCAGCTGATCAGAAACGTACTCTCAAACCAATTGCAGCATGAGGCCATTCACACTAATCCAGAAACAGATATCCTTTACCAGCTTGCAATAATAGCAAAGTGTTATTACTTAAATGCATCCATAAGCATAACTTAAACTCTAGAGATGTGCTAGGCAGATTCTGACTTCACATTTGGTATTGGCACATTTAAATCAATATATGACGTATGTATTACTTTCAGCAGCAAAATCTTTGTGATACAGTGATAAGAGGGTTTGGGACATATCAGTATAGGTGTTTTATATATTTAAATGGGTGCTGGGTGGCCGAGTGGTCTAAACTGAGCAAATCTCAAGTTGGTGGTCTGGAGTTCAATTCCAGCTAGAGCAAAAACACCACCAGCACCCCGGGTAGATGGGACTCGTTAACCTTGGACGGCAACTCATCTAAGAGAAGGAAACTCTGAAATCAAACCCGGAGATGGAGTCCCGAAAGGCGGATAACATTGATACAATGAAACATTCCGACAACTCCTGCGACGTCACTGGTGCCAAGCTGTATCATCCAATGATGTTCCCTTGGGTTACCCAGCGGCGTGGAGAGAGGCGATTTGCTGTTGGGAACCAGCTTATAATCCTTCAAGTATAATAATCCCAGGCTATGTGGATTTCGTCCTACGAAGCCCACTCCATCGTCACATTTGTTTAAAACACACCTAAAAGAATACTTATGGAGAATAAATTGATTAGCAACTTAGGAATGTTGAGTCCTTTAGGCATCTATAAATTTATATATCTGAAACATTAATAAACTATAAAACAATAATTTAACATTCCACATTACCTGCTCATTTTGTTCCAAAGGAGCTTCTTCACGTCCAAACCCAAGCCCACTGTCACTGTTACTATTGTTACTGCTGCTGTTACTATGCACATGTTCCACCTGTCTTATAGGATCTGCAAATGCTTGAGACTGGACAATTTCATTGTCAAATTTTCTTGGCGGTGCATCACGATATAAATTGGCAATACAAAGTATAAGTGAAGTCGCTAATCTGGGAAACTCTTCACAGCGACGGGTCTCAGCATTTGTAGTACAATTAATCTGAAAAAATAAATGATGGTTCAATTCAACACTTTGTAATGACCTAATTAAAAAAGTTTATTCCAGTGAAATTTCTTCTTCAGAAAATATTTTATTGGTCCAGTATCTACAAGATGACAGACAACTAGTCACTAGGATTACATTGCAACAGAATTAAAAAATGCATTTTGAAAAGATTTGATGATAAGTGGTTGTTAACATAACAAGTCTACAGAAACAATTCTACCAAAAAATAAACTTAATAAAACTGTATTCAATACTTTTCGGTACAGTAGTTTAAATCCTATTCTAAAACCGATTAGGTACTGTAGTTTAAATTCTATTTTAAAGCCGATTATCGGTTTTAATGGCATTCATAGAAATATATTTGGTACTTTCTTAACAGATAGATAAAGATTGGATACATTTAATGTAAAAAGTAGTCAGTACCAGTAACAACTTATTTTCAATATTGCCATTCTTTATTTTGTTTTTGCACTAATATTGTACCAAGATGTCAAAATCAGCAGTTAATATTGGTCACATTTGACATAATAGTTTTAATTGAGTTTTAGTATCTATCATTTTTAAGATGAAAGAAAAAAATAAAATTTGTTTATTGATTTGTAAAAAACAACAAATGATAATCGTTTTTAAACCACTTTCTTAACGAAATTCAATTTTATGCTACATAATGTTCAGTGATCAATTTTCAGCATTAAATATTGGGGATTAACGAAAGGGTTCTTAAAAATCCCATGTCATCTTCAATCTCTGAATGCTAAAAGGTTTGTTTTAAAAACTTTTTTTTTATGGTTTTGAAAATCCTTTTAAGTTTGAAGCTAATATTTTGATATGGACTTTTGACAATTTGTAGAATTTAATGTACCGTACAAGTTTTAACTATATCCATTATCTGTTCACTTAGAAAGAGAAAAAACACTTTTAAATTATGAAAAAGAAATTAGAGGAATTAGATAAATGAAAAAAAATAAATATAAAACCAAAATATAAGCACAAATTCATTAACATTAAAAAATAAGAATGAAATGAATGAAAACTTTTATATAAAATTGAATAAAAAATGTAATAAAATAGAAAGAGCCTGACTCACTTTATATTTTAAAATTCTGATACACTTTAAGTTGTAAATAGATTGAGAAAAAACTGCAATATTTGCTAGAAACAATAATGCTTTAACAAAGTAAAAATAAATAATATTCAAGATATTAAAATAAAAGTTCAAGTTTTGTATAGCCTTAATTTTTGTTTTAATATCTCAAATTGCAGCATTAGGCTGAGACTGTGTTTCTAATACTATCTTAGAATTTCTCAGTCAGGGTGCTTTTTTAAAATAAACTTGATGTTAGTTTTACATCAGAGATGGTCTCGTAATATTTAATCTATCAACATTAAAATTAAAGGGAAAAAAATTAGGATACTCAATATTTTATCAGCTACACACGTTCACTTACATCAAGCTTTGTTTTGTGTGTAACTATAAAATAAATGTAAATTTACCTGGAATGCTTCTGCTTGCTGAATATGAGCACTGTGAGGACTGAGATCTGGCTCAATCATAAAAATGTGGCAAGATGAATTAGGAATTTTGGCAATCTCTCCACTTTCAGTGTAACTGCTGCAGTCATCATCAGGAAGACTCAGTGTAACCAACCCAAAAAATCGTTCATCATCAGGACAGATACCACTAAAAGCAATTCTTTCATTAGGATAGAAGGCGAGCTGTTTTCCCACAGCATTTGTGAGAACCACACCTGTTGAGCTCACTTGCATCAATACCAATGTATGAACTCTTTTCTCCACCCTTAATCTTCGCACTGCACTTCTTAGGGCCTGAAGTCTTTGATGAGGGCGAGTATGGGAACTAGGGGTTTCAATTGAGCCAATGTAACCTACAACTGCTTTGATAGAATTAACAACTTCTAGCTTGAGTTCTTCTTTCTTTATTATTTCTTCTGGTTGATTAAGTAGCTTTTCTTGTCGTCGAGTCTTCTGTGACTCATCTGTATTATGTGCTGCAGTCTCTTGTGTGGTATCTGGGAATTTTACTGAACCAATTTGCCATGGTAATTTGGAGTCTGTAACTTGAGGCACCCTCTTAACAACGGCTGCAGCAGATGTTATTTTTTTTGCTGTGGGCATCACTTGTCCACCATGCATTGCAGCGAAAGCAAAACCATTACCTTGTGCATAATTTGCATCAAACCGATTTTTTTCTTTCTTTATGGTTGTAGCTGCTTGTGTATTTTTAGACCATCCAGAATCAGGTATTTGAGCCCAACCCTGGTCTTCTTGTGAAGTAAGACTTGATGATAAATCAGATTCTGCTCCAAGAGGAGTGTAATGTCGAGGTGCATTATGATTTTCCCTGTGTTCATTGCGACGAGAAGAGGGCCCTCTTTCATACTTAGAACCTCTCTCTGCATGACTGACCCTAGGTCTGACTCGATTGGGATATCTTGATTTACTTCTAGGAGGGTAATTATCGTCAGAAGAGTCAGAACTATTATAATTCTCTGCAACCTAAAAATATGTGTTTAAATTTAAATATGAAATAAATGAAAATGGAATAATTCAAAAATTTAACCAAAATAAAATGAATCTCCTCAGAATAATATCTATTCATTATATTGATTTTTATAATCTTATTATTATTTTATTTTATTTCCCTTTAAGTTTAGTTTCATTATTAAGCTGCAAGTATAAACATTTATGTATATTCGTTATGTTGCCTTTTTTCCCCACGATTGTTCAGTTGAAAATGTACCTGGAGCTCTAGAGTTCCTGTAGAGAGTCCAACCATTCTAACAACATCATCATGACAAGCTCTGCTGACATTCTGGCCATTCACAAAATATAGTAGATCACCTGGTTTAAGGCCTGCAGCTTCAGCTGGACTTCCAGAAACAATGCAACTCAGCATACATGGATTTTGTCCTGATATTGTAAATCCATAACCTACTTTTCCTCTAACAACTGTCACTGTTTTAGTACCCTGCAGAATTCGTTTCTTTCTACGTTTAGCATGCTGGTTTGGATTGGGATACATAGCTGTATGGAAAAAAATATACATAGCTGTATGGAAAAAAATACACCAATTTTAGATTTATGCTGATTTGAAAAGCAAGACCACATTTTAAATTTTAAAAATGTTGAGTAAAATAATATTAAAGATTACTTAGATGAGTAATATTCAGGAATTTTCAATTTGCAAATATTTATTAATAGCCACTTTGATGCTTTTTGCAATTACTAATTCAATGCTAAAAGTTCATATCAAAATTTCAGTTTCTTTTAGACACAAAAATCCCATGATTTTTAATAAATGTTCACAGCACATTAAAATATGTCAGTTATGCTGTCTGCTTCAGTGGCAAAGAGATTAGAGAATATTACTTTAACAAGAAGCCTTAGAAAAGGGGTTTTTAACATGTAGTTGCCCAATCCCTTGGGGGTCTGTGCAAAGTTGTTTGGATTTCTGTTATTATTTTACCAAGAAGGGTTGCATGGCCTTCATCGGACTAGCAAAGGTTCAAATGAACACAAAAGCTTAATGATCCTGCCTTAGATTACTTAGAAGGTTGTATCGATTGTATCTTCTAATCAAATTATTATTTTTTTTTTAATAAGTTAAGAAAGCCGGTTGTATGTTCTAGTGAAATTAAGACTTTTTTTTTTTTACAGTTTAACATTATAATAATAACACAAAATTTCTTGTGGGGTTGCACTTTAATTTTATAACATGGGGTCGCTACAGGTCATTTTGATTCTATAAAATAGTTTTTTTTCCATCTCTAAAAAAGGTTGGAACTGGGAACCTTCACTCTAATCCAGTGCTGTCCAACCCATAAGCGGTCCAACAGCTAATTTTAAATGGCCTGCCGGAGCTTGAGAAATTTTTATGATGTGTGTAAAAAAAATTGCAACATTTTAGGGTGAAAATATTTTCAAACAACATTCATTGAAAAATTGTTGTGATATTGGGGACAAGAACCTAGTATTCAGATATTAGAGTATGAGATGTTCAATAAGTAGAAAGCAGGATAAAAGCTGTGCTTGTTAGAGCCATTTAGTCAGGGAGGAATTGTGAGAGACAGTAGGAACAATGCTTGAAAGTATTTTTTTTTTAACAAACAAAAGAATGCCAGGCCAAATAATTTCTGGATGATGTATGTTTCTTCTGATAAATTTCCACAACTATATGGGCAGTGTTGGAAAAAAATTTTGACCATGTTTTAGGAAGCACTCTGCATCAGTGAAGCTGGATTCTCCATAATGATTAACATCAAGTCCAAAAAACCTATTGCTTTGACTGGTCAACAATTATAAAATCTAAAGAGGGCAGGTGCTACTCATTGCTATTTCAAATTAAGAAAATAGCAAGTACAAGTAAAAAAATTATATGTCATTAAAATGGGCTACAGTTTTTAATTCACTTTATTTGTATTCTCGATGAAGTGATTATGATCTTTATGCTTAAGGTTAGAAGTATTAATAATATGAATACTTTTCTAAAAATGAAAAAAAAATCTATGTTTTGAGATGCTGCGTCTGGCCTTCGGATAAACAGAAACAAAATTTGGGCCCATGGAGTCAAAATGGTTGCACGATACTGCTCTTAACTATTGAAAGTTTGTCTCCAATGCTCCATTACTCTATACTGAAACTATAGGACAAATTTTAATTTTTTAAAGTTTTATATTACATTATTACAGCCCTCATAAGCCTAATTTTGATTCTTCGACACTTACCATATTTTAATAATTAGGCAGAGACTTGACATGGATTATATTTATTTTATTATATCGAAGTATTCATAGGGCATAGTCCTATAGAATATTAAATAGCCAGCCTTAGCATACTTCAGAATTTGACTGGGGTCATCCCAGTTTGTATTGTGGTCCCAGTTTCAAATCTCAGTTTGGTAAAATATTAATTTATCCTGTCTACCTAAGATAGTCTCGTACCGGTACACATTGTTTAAATTCAATAATTAATTAATTTAATGTTATATAACGCTAAAATTATATATGTTAATACTGTCAAGTTCTAAGCTTGTATTAGACAACATACGTTCGATTTTGAAAAAGTCTATGTGCACATGATTTGAGGCCTCTTTGAATATGAGGCCTGAGCCTAATGTGATGCCTGCAACCAATGACTCCCCCCCCCCACACCTTTAATTTTTTTCCTAGCCTATGACTATGAGAAGATAGAAATAATATGCCAGCAATACAGTCAGTATTATATATCCTTTTGACTATAAATTTCCCATTAATAAGAATAAGGAGATGTTCATAAATAATGTCACGCTACTTTATCAATTTTTTTACACCCATCCCATCATCACAAATTTTTAACACAAATAACACACTTTTATCACACATTGTCATAAATTTGTGACCCCACCCCCCTTCTAGATACATGACATCATCATCTATGTATGACATCATTGACATCATTTATGGATGGCCCCTCTAGGCCTAAGCTGGTCAAAGATTTTTTATAACTAAGAAAGTTTAAGTTGAGTGAGAAATATGATATAATGAATACTAATTACTAAAAGCCTTTCTATTTCCCTTAATACCCAAAACTGCCAACACACATGACCATGAATGCCCTAATTTATAGTGACTTTTCAGTCCAGAGCCAGAGACCTTGCGTGTTGCCCAGGGCCAAGGCGGCTCATTTTGACTAAATTTTAAAATTTTAAATGCTGCTCAGTGCTAAGGGCAAACTCCCAAAATCGGGCACACCCCCCCCCCCTTCCACGGATCTAAAATTAAATTATTTTAAATGATCTTGGTATTTAGGGTAAAAAAAAAAATTTTTTTTTTTGTGTGGGGGGGGGGGGGGGGGGGGTCTACCCCTTTCTAACTCAGGTACACCCCTGGTCACTTCAATCCTTTATAAAATTATGTGCCCAGTGAGGCAAATGGTAAGCTTCTAAGTCTAAGCCAAAGAGTTCAAAGACTAAGAGTAAGAGCTTTAATTTTAAATCAAAATCTTAAACTTAACCTTAGCCCGGTAGCCCTTAACTGAGCTTAACTGAACTGTTTAGTCTTAGTTTAACTGTACTTTACATATTTTGATATGCCTATTAAATTTTAATAATAATAGGCATAGGCCATAGGGCTCATAGTAGGCTAATCATAATAAAAGTAATAATTAATTATATTAAACATTCTTAACTAGTAATAATAATATTTAGGTAGGTCCCACATCAATGATCAGTAGGTCAGGTCTAGTCTACCTGTGCCTACGCCACGGGCCCTACACTGTTCATCAAGTACACTCCATATTACTATTGATGGATAATGACTAAAAGCTAGTAAAGTTATCTAATCTTAAGACAGCAATACCTGGTGAATGAAATCTTAGTTTCCTTGTTCAACTATACAGTAAATCATATTTAAATTTTTTTTTTTTTTTAAATTATGTACAAGTAGACAGAAGTTAAAATTTACTTTAAAAATAAATTATTTTTTTTGTTTTCAAACTTGAATAAAACGGTACCGTGAATTTCCGGTTACGAGTTCTTATTTATTTCATTGGACAGTTTAAAATGAAAAGAAACCCAAAGTGACAACGATACTTTAAGCCATAAAGGTCAATTATTCTCATTCAAGCTTACTTCGTATAGTTTTTATGAGCTTTGTCTTTCCAGATAAATGTAATACGTTTGTATCAAGCTTAATGATATACACTAATTTGCATTGCCCTGGCTCAGGTAGCGGGAGTGGTTTTCAACCTTTTTTTTAAATTCTTAAGTATTAAATTCGCTTTTGTTCATGGGTGACTGGCTGGCAAAACCTTCGGACGGCCAATTGACCCACTTCCCGCCTACCTATCCAGCTGAAACTTGGCAATGCCGATTACAACTGACAACACATTCTATTAAACTTTCAACACCACCCCCCAAAAATCAGTTTTCCTCCTGTTTTTCAAATGAAACATGAAAGAAAATTTCCGATAACTGCGCTAAATGAGATTTTTTTTTTTTTAATGAGATTCTTTATTTTTTTTAAATATCACAAGTGCGTTTGGTGCTTAATATTTGCTGAAATAGTTGGTGAACTATATCTGCGGTGTAACACCGGGTGGGTCATTGGAATAGTAATATAGTTCAGTGGCGTGAAAAAATGTGTGGTTGTGAGCCTGGGGGGGGGGGGGGGGGGGGCTAATTGGGATTCTTATTAAGTGCGTTACTTGTATGCATGTTTTGTCAAATTTTCAGCTCCCCCCCCCCTCTCCATTGCTTGATATTACATTTTCTAAAGGATTTATACGTAAATTATTTTTTAGGGGTTGTTTAATATTTTATGTTATGACTTAGGGAATGGGGTCGAGACGTAGGTCCCAAAGTCAAAGTGATCTTTGCAGTCGGTGCTACCATAAAAACCAACTGTTATTGGGAGCGTTAGCAATATTCGCATTGCCACATACACATTTTTTTTTAAAGAGCAACCAAGCTCAATCGACATAGATAGTCTAATATACCTCTCTTGCTTCATTTTTTCTGTTAAATTTCTTGAATAATAAAATAGCTCATACCTTTTTTCTGTTGCATTAATTTCTACTGAATAGTCGCGCAGCTAGTGTTGTTAGTGCGGCACAGGGCGGGCCCAGATCCCCCCCCCCCCACCCCGCCCGACCCTATGGAAAAAAACGGACAACACCAAATTGTGTACTTTGACCATTGGCGTAGGCACCGTAGCTCGTGATTTGCTTCATTTTTTCTGTTAAATTTCTTGAATAATAAAATAGCTTATACCTTTTTTCTGTTGCATTAATTTCTACTGAATAGGCGCGCAGCTAGTGTTGTTAGTGCGGCACAGGGCGGGCCCAGAACCCCCCCCCCCCACCCCGCCCGACCCTATGGAAAAAAACGGACAACACCAAATTGTGTACTTTGACCATTGGCGTAGGCACCGTAGCTCGTGAGGAGATACTGATCTTCCACCGAGCGCCTCCTCAGGTGGCGGATAGGGGAAAGCCCACCAGATATGGAAGGTACCGGGGAAATAAAATACCTGGGGCGGACCAAAA